CTAAAAATCCCAAAAAATTCATAGACACTAATTCAGACCAATAAAGAAAGAATTTGGATGTCAGATTTGATAGATAACTATCCGTTTAGATTTTCAAAATCAGCGGTTCAAGCAATGCAGTAGGCTCATATAGGTGGAAAAATATTTTTTTCCTGATTGCCCTAAAAATCCCAAAAAATTCATAGACACTAATTCAGACCAATAAAGAAAGAATTTGATGTCAGATTTGATAGATCACTCTCCGTTTAGTATTTCAAAATTAGCGGTTCAAGCAATGCAGTAGGCTCATATAGGTGGAAAAATATTTTTTTCCTGATTGCCCTAAAAATCTCAAAAATTCATAGACACTAATTCAGACCATAAAGAAAGAATTTGATGTCAGATTTGATAGATAACTCTCCGTTTAGATTTTCAAAATCAGCGGTTCAAGCAATGCAGTAGGCTCATATAGGTGGAGAAATATTTTTTCCTGATTGCCCTAAAAATCCCAAAAAATTCATAGACACTAATTCAGACCAATAAAGATAGAATTTGATGTCAGATTTGATAGATAACTCTCCCTTTAGATTTTCAAAATCAGCGGTTCAAGCAATGCAGTAGGCCGTAGTAGGCTCATATAGGTGGAAAATATTTTTTCCTGATTGCCCTAAAAATCCCAAAAAATTCATAGACACTAATTCAGACCAATGAAGATAGAATTTGATGTCAGATTTGATAGATAACTCTCCCTTTAGATTTTCAAAATCAGCGGTTCAAGCAATGCAGTAGGCCGTAGTAGGCTCATATAGGTGGAAAAATATTTTTTTCCTGATTGCCCTAAAAATCCCAAAAAAATTCATAAACACTAATTCAGACCAATAAAGAAAGAATTTGATGTCAGATTTGATAGATAACTCTCCGTTTAGATTTTCAAAATCAGCGGTTTAAGCAATGCAGTAGGCCGTATAGTAGGCTCATATAGGTGGAAAAATATTTTTTTCCTGATTGCCTTAAAAATCCCAAAAAATTCATAGACACTAATTCAGACCAATGAAGAAAGAATTTGATGTCAGATTTGATAGATATCTCTCCGTTTATATTTTCAAAATCAGCGGTTCAACCAATGCAGTAGGAGCCGTAGTAGGCTCATATAGGTGGAAAAATATTTTTTTCCTGATTGCCCTAAAAATCCCAAAAAATTCATAGACACTAATTCAGACCAATAAAGAAAGAATTTTGATGTCAGATTTGATAGATAACTCTCCGTTTAGATTTTCGAAATCAGCGGTTCAAGCAATGCAGTAGGCCGTATAGTAGGCTCATATAGGTGGAAAAATATTTTTTTCCTGATTGCCTTAAAAATCCCAAAAAATTCATAGACACTAATTCAGACCAATGAAGAAAGAATTTGATGTCAGATTTGATAGATAACTCTCCGTTTATATTTTCAAAATCAGCGGTTCAACCAATGCAGTAGGCCGTAGTAGGCTCATATAGGTGGAAAAATATTTTTTTTCTGATTGCCCAAAAAATCCCAAAAAATTCATAGACACTAATTCAGACCAATAAAGAAAGAATTTGATGTCAGATTTGAATAGATAACTCTCCGTTTAGATTTTCAAAATTAGCGGTTCAAGCAATGCAGTAGGCTCATATAGGTGGAAACATATTTTTTCCTGATTGCCCTAAAAATCCCAAAAAATTCATAGACACTAATTCAGACCAATAAAGATAGAATTTGATGTCAGATTCGATAGATAACTCTCCGTTTATATTTTCAAAATCAGCGGTTCAACCAATGCAGTAGGCCGTAGTAGGCTCATATAGGTGGAAAAATATTTTTTTTCTGATTGCCCAAAAAATCCCAAAAAATTCATAGACACTAATTCAGACCAATAAAGAAAGAATTTGATGTCAGATTTGAATAGATAACTCTCCGTTTAGATTTTCAAAATTAGCGGTTCAAGCAATGCAGTAGGCTCATATAGGTGGAAAAATATTTTTTTCCTGATTGCCCTAAAAATCTCAAAAAATTCATAGACACTAATTCAGACCAATAAAGAAAGAATTTGATGTCAGATTCGATAGATAACTCTCCGTTTAGATTTTCGAAATCAGCGGTTCAAGCAATGCAGTAGGCTCATATAGGTGGAAAAATATTTTTTTCCTGATTGCCCTAAAAATCCCAAAAAATTCATAGACACTAATTCAGACCAATAAAGATAGAATTTGATGTCAGATTTGATAGATAACTCTCCGTTTAGATTTTCAAAATTAGCGGTTCAAGCAATGCAGTAGGCTCATATAGGTGGAAACATATTTTTTCCTGATTGCCCTAAAAATCCCAAAAAATTCATAGACACTAATTCAGACCAATAAAGATAGAATTTGATGTCAGATTTGAATAGATAACTCTCCGTTTAGATTTTCAAAATTAGCGGTTCAAGCAATGCAGTAGGCTCATATAGGTGGAAAAATATTTTTTTCCTGATTGCCCTAAAAATCTCAAAAAATTCATAGACACTAATTCAGACCAATAAAGAAAGAATTTGATGTCAGATTCGATAGATAACTCTCCGTTTAGATTTTCGAAATCAGCGGTTCAAGCAATGCAGTAGGCTCATATAGGTGGAAAAATATTTTTTTCCTGATTGCCCTAAAAATCCCAAAAAATTCATAGACACTAATTCAGACCAATAAAGAAAGAATTTGATGTCAGATTTGAATAGATAACTCTCCGTTTAGATTTTCAAAATTAGCGGTTCAAGCAATGCAGTAGGCTCATATAGGTGGAAACATATTTTTTCCTGATTGCCCTAAAAATCCCAAAAAATTCATAGACACTAATTCAGACCAATAAAGATAGAATTTGATGTCAGATTCGATAGATAACTCTCCGTTTATATTTTCAAAATCAGCGGTTCAACCAATGCAGTAGGCCGTAGTAGGCTCATATAGGTGGAAAAATATTTTTTTTCTGATTGCCCAAAAAATCCCAAAAAATTCATAGACACTAATTCAGACCAATAAAGAAAGAATTTGATGTCAGATTTGAATAGATAACTCTCCGTTTAGATTTTCAAAATTAGCGGTTCAAGCAATGCAGTAGGCTCATATAGGTGGAAAAATATTTTTTTCCTGATTGCCCTAAAAATCTCAAAAAATTCATAGACACTAATTCAGACCAATAAAGAAAGAATTTGATGTCAGATTCGATAGATAACTCTCCGTTTAGATTTTCGAAATCAGCGGTTCAAGCAATGCAGTAGGCTCATATAGGTGGAAAAATATTTTTTTCCTGATTGCCCTAAAAATCCCAAAAAATTCATAGACACTAATTCAGACCAATAAAGAAAGAATTTGATGTCAGATTTGATAGATAACTCTCCGTTTAGATTTTCGAAATCAGCGGTTCAAGCAATGCAGTAGGCCGTATAGTAGGCTCATATAGGTGGAAAAATATTTTTTTCCTGATTGCCTTAAAAATCCCAAAAAATTCATAGACACTAATTCAGACCAATGAAGAAAGAATTTGATGTCAGATTTGATAGATAACTCTCCGTTTATATTTTCAAAATCAGCGGTTCAACCAATGCAGTAGGCCGTAGTAGGCTCATATAGGTGGAAAAATATTTTTTTTCTGATTGCCCAAAAAATCCCAAAAAATTCATAGACACTAATTCAGACCAATAAAGAAAGAATTTGATGTCAGATTTGAATAGATAACTCTCCGTTTAGATTTTCAAAATTAGCGGTTCAAGCAATGCAGTAGGCTCATATAGGTGGAAACATATTTTTTCCTGATTGCCCTAAAAATCCCAAAAAATTCATAGACACTAATTCAGACCAATAAAGATAGAATTTGATGTCAGATTCGATAGATAACTCTCCGTTTATATTTTCAAAATCAGCGGTTCAACCAATGCAGTAGGCCGTAGTAGGCTCATATAGGTGGAAAAATATTTTTTTTCTGATTGCCCAAAAAATCCCAAAAAATTCATAGACACTAATTCAGACCAATAAAGAAAGAATTTGATGTCAGATTTGAATAGATAACTCTCCGTTTAGATTTTCAAAATTAGCGGTTCAAGCAATGCAGTAGGCTCATATAGGTGGAAAAATATTTTTTTCCTGATTGCCCTAAAAATCTCAAAAAATTCATAGACACTAATTCAGACCAATAAAGAAAGAATTTGATGTCAGATTCGATAGATAACTCTCCGTTTAGATTTTCGAAATCAGCGGTTCAAGCAATGCAGTAGGCTCATATAGGTGGAAAAATATTTTTTTCCTGATTGCCCTAAAAATCCCAAAAAATTCATAGACACTAATTCAGACCAATAAAGATAGAATTTGATGTCAGATTTGATAGATAACTCTCCGTTTAGATTTTCAAAATCAGCGGTTCAAGCAATGCAGTAGGCTCATATAGGTGGAAAAATATTTTTTTACTGATTGCCCTAAAAATCCCAAAAAATTCATAGACACTAATTCAGACCAATAAAGAAAGAATTTGATGTCAGATTTGATAGATAACTCTCCGTTTAGATTTTCAAAATCAGCGGTTCAAGCAATGCAGTAGGCTCATATAGGTGGAAAAATATTTTTTTCCTGATTGCCCTAAAAATCCCAAAAAATTCATAGACACTAATTCACACCAATAAAGAAAGAATTTGATGTCAGATTTGATAGATAACTCTCCCTTTAGATTCTCAAAATCAGCGGTTCAAGCAATGCAGTAAACCCATATAGGTCGAAGAGGATATGCGTTTTTGGATAAACTTTCCCTAAACGCGTTATGGTAAATTGAGGGAAAAAATCGAGGACCACCCTGAATCAATGAATATGTTGATCACTGTATGAACCAGAATGACAAAAATTATGCATTTTCTCATGAAAATATTCAATTCTAAAAAAAAATTCCATTCAAACGGGAGGCTTGCAAACAGTTTATGATGGATCAAAAAATTTGGATTTCACGTTTCGGGTTTTGAGCAGGTTAGTTATCATCACAAGATTACCTATATTTTCGGCTATATTTACGGGGGTTTTCAGCACCAGGACTGCCACGTCATTGTATAAAGCACCAGCGTAGTACTGTGGGTGTATGGATATGGACTGCACTTCCCTGTCTTGGTGAGGGTACAGTTCCTGGGTGTGCTGTGTGTCCCATTCGCCAGCTCTTATCTTGAAAAATGATAATTATAAACGTTTGATTAATATTCTCAAATTCTTATTGTGATCATATTATTTGATGTCAGAATTCCATCATTGTTTTGTATGCAACTCATTATGAATCACCCTGTGAACAAAAGGGTTACCATAGACAGGGAGTTACCCTCGCGTCGCTTGGACGAAATCAGCCAGCTCCTATCATATCTGAATTTTGAAAATTAAACTTCGAAAACAGAAACTATGAACCTTATTTCAATTATTATCATATTATCTGGGAAACTATAAACTTAAGGGACCTTCTAGAACATTTTTGAACATTTTCGATGATTCTGAAATATTCCCAAGCAATCTGGAAGATTCTAGGATATTCTATGGTATTCCTGAACATGCCAGACCATTCAAAAATCTTCTGGGAAATTCAACTTCACTGTGGAACATTCTAAAGCTTTTTCTAACATTCTGGACCATCATCAGGAGACATTCTCGAGCAATCTGAAAGATTTTGGAACATTGTATTCTAATCTTGAACATACTACAATATTATTGAGTCTTCTGGAAGATTCTATAACACTGTGAAACATTCTAGAATATTTTTGAACCCTATTGGCCATTCTGAAACATTCTCCAACTATAAGGAATATTCTAGAACAGTCTCTAGCATTTTTGGACACTCTGAGAACATTCTAGAGCATAAATATGGAAGATAGAATCCTTGATTATATGATTGAGGGTAGATTATACTTACCTCAAAGCTTCTATTTTTACCGCTGACGCAATGGGCGGCTGTTAGCACTGCCCTCGGATGAATTAACGTCCCCCGCATTTTTTTTTTATCCTCACATTGCTTGGACAAAATCAGCCAACTTGTTTCATATTTGTATTTCAAAAATGGATATTCGAATACGAAAATTGTAAACCTAACTTATTTCAGGTTATTCTCAATTTTTCAAGTCACTTATTCGAAGATCCAGAAACTTTTGGAAGTTTCTAGAAAATTTTCGAACAATCTGGACCATAACATTCTGAGAGATTTCATGACACTTTGGAACATAACGATCTCGAGCTAACTGGAAGATTCTAGAACATTCTATACTATACTTTTGAACATACTACAACATTCTAAAGTCTTCAGGAAGATTCAATAACACTGTGGAACATTTCAGAACATTTTCGTACAATCTGAAAGATTTTAGATCATCCTATAGCACTTCTTAACATGCTACAATACTATAAAATCTTCTGGAAGATTCTATATTACTTTGAAACATTCTGGAACACTCGAAACACAAATTTGGCGCAGTCGGTAGGTAGAATAATCTCACCTTGAAGCTCTTATTCTTGCCGCTGACGCAATGGGCGGCTGTCAGCACTGCCCTAGGGTGTATCAACGCTCCCCCGCACTGGTACACGTTCAATTTGACAGGGTTGCCCTCCACCGACTCCTCGCGCAAGATGGCCACCATCCAGGGGAATTCCCCGAACTGCGCCTCGTTCTCCCTGTCTCCGGTGATGCGGAAGCCGACGCCGTCCGGATGGCGGTAGCCGCACTTGGTGGGGGCGGGTTGGGGGGGCGGCGTGGGGGTGATGGGGTCGGTGCGCACGTCGAGGGGGTCGCAGCACACTTGGAGATAGTTGCCGCCGCACGGGCCGTCGTTTATCCTGAGGAGGAATTAGGACGGTACATTTTTTTTGGGGATTTTTCTGTTCTCGTTTATTTATTGCATCACAGGTTTTTATCATTTATATGTTTTTTCATGAATAAGAAAATCATTTGATTAGTATATTTCATAACAAGAGTTGTAAAACGCATATTACGCACGAAGTGGAGAGAGTAACTCCAAAAGTGAGTAATTGCTTTACAACTCGAGAAATGTACTATACTTTTTCTACGACTACACGTACTATACTTCCTTCAAGATAGTACAGATTTTGTGTGAAGATATAGATATCGAATTAGTCTCTCGTCACTTAAAGCTAATTGCATGAAAAGTTACAAATTACAATATTCATGTATTTCAACTACGAAATAGTCACCATGCCAAAGTCATTTCCACACAATTCTCATAAAATGAACAACAATGGTAGATTTCGGGATAAAAACTACTTTCCTGGCTAATGCCATCCAGAACATTGGATTACATCCTCCCGAAATCTATGCATCGACTTGTATAAACGAATACTGATACAAGTGATTCTTTCCTGAATGTCTATCCCACTGGAATCACACATGCCTATACACCATATTCCCAAGGTGGTTTACCACCCAAAATAATACCAATTAAAAATTACATCAAATAATTTGAAAAAATAAAATAAAATAGCAACCATTCCTAACGAGTTCAGGTTCTTCTATTCTCGATAAAATCTCCTTCTTTCCCTGTACACTTTGCATATCTATTTCGCACGTTATTTTCAACTCTCCTCAGTTTTTCTGATGGTGGTATCTCTCTGCAAACTGTTATGATTCTTGGTCGCACCTCTTCTCTGTTTTTTGGCCTGAATTTCTCACTCTGTAGCCAGATGATCTAATCCTGACTATCTATGAAATTTCACGAAATGTTAGCCCATAATCAAATTAGGAATCTTATTTTTCCTGTTTCAAAAAATCTTCCCTGCACACGTTGCTACAAAAAAATTGATCTAAGGTATTCTTTTCTTTGTTCTTACTTTTGGCTGAATTGATTTTTGTCAACTAAAGGAAAGAATATACTGTTCTATATAACGCACACTAGTGGAATGAAGAATCACCCTGTTCAAGGTTGATGTACTTTTATCGATATAGAGCACTGATATTTGTTTTTAATGTCTTTGAATGTGAAAGATAAGTACAAAAGGTTGGAGGTCAGCGAGTGTATTTGTCGAAATTATATCCCGAAAAATGAAAAAGAAGAAGAAATTACATCGTCACCGTTACTAATTCGGTTACTAAAGACATCTGTCTGGTGTAGCCCCTTAAAATTTCTGGAGAGCTGGAAATCCTGAATAACGGGTAAAGTCGTGGAAATACACCAAGTCACAAAACAAAAGCCTATAGAATTTCTGGTTACCATTCGCATGTGTATTCTTGATTATTCCAGATTTTGACAATCATGATAATCATGGTAACGAATATGGCAGTTCATCGAAGTCCACGAGAACGGATATAGGAGTGTATGTGCGTACCATTACAAGTTCCCATGTTTTTTTTTCGAAGATTCAAAATATATATTCACCTAAAAAAAAACGGATTAACTATAGTTGAACACTGAACAGTATTGTCGCGGAAAATCAGTTCGGGAAACCTGACGAGATGTTCTCATACCTACCCGAAATAAATGTTGAAAATACGAAATTCGGATATGAGATCTCTTGCACCATGAACAAAGGGTAACTCTTAATATTTCAATACCTACCTTTTCTCCCTTTCCACCCCAGGGATGGACGATGTTCTACGAACATAAAATAGTCATTCTCTCTCGTTCGTCTTAAGCGATAATAAAAATTGAAAACATTAGCTGCAATCCGAAATATGACTTCAACCCTATCGGATTTTGGAATAAATGAACTATACGATTCCTCAAGCTGTTCAACATCATCTGTTTTTCGCAAATATATTAGTTTCTCCCCTCATTTCTAAAAAAAATTATAGAGATATAAAAGTATCTGTGGATGACTGGGCGTGGAGATTTTTCTTTGCCCCGAAGTGTTTTTAAGTGTTTAAAAGTGTTTTTAACAGCCAGCTTAGTTGCAAAGCAACCCTCGAAAGTCACAGACTTGTGTGAGTTAAGAAGACGGGGACCTTAGCTTTTCAAGTGTTTGAAAATTCATTTTCAGACCCGAAAGAATTTTTTCAGCTGATAGTCAGTGACACTTCGGGAAATAAGATGTTGAAAGATATTTGAGGAAAAAATTATAAAGAAAATATGTGGAGATGTATTACTCTCCATTTCAACTAGATGTTTCGGAAAACACTCTGTATCCATTATCAACATGAAATTCTTTCGAACAAATGATTTGTCTTTGGCTTTCTACAAGAAAGTAAGTGAGTAGTATAACTCACATGAATTATATTTCGAATAATAATTCCTCGTCAACATCAACTTAATTTAATATGAATTATTCAGGAAGTTACATTTTTCCAAAACAAATATTTTCATTTGATCCTTCCTCCGATGACGTATCGCTCTCATCTGAATCGAAAGTTATCACGACAGGTTCAATATTGAAAGCACCTATGTATTTCTCCGTCTCCAATGCCGAAAATATCACTTTTTCTGTATGTCGTACATAATTTCTCCAATGCTCCACACCCACAGCTTCTAACGCCTTTGACCAGACCATCATCACATCTCCCGGGGATAATTTAGTCTAGATGATTTCGGCGTCATAAATCCTTTCAGCCTCTGACCACACCATTTGTATGGCATTTTATTGGCAATGGTGAGGTGGTAATCTCAAAATATTGTGACCATGTTCTGATGCGTAAATATCACGTAAATATCTAGATGATATTTTTTTTTTGAATGACGTACGCTTGCCTGCAATTGATGGTTGTTCTACAAGAAACTGCCTATTGTTGCTCCTCTTGAATTTGAATCCAATTTTGCGAATTCAGGTATTCACGGATCTTGGTGAACAAGGAAAATCAGGCCATTCTTCAGTGAAACGCCTATGGAGCGATTTTATTGTAACATGTACTCTAAGAGCCTGTAAAATTGTGGGATTTACCTTTTTTTTTCTTCGGCCTTTTTCGAAACTGTTACTGCATAAACAGCATCAGAGTTTGTTTGCGGATTCTTGATCCGATAAATACTCCTTTCTGAAATATTCAGAGCTTCCGCGGCAATGCTGACAACATTTTTTCTTTGAACTTGGCAGAAATCATCGTGTTTTACAAAATACGCGATCACACTCAGAATCAATGTTTTAGATTGATCATTGAATCGTTTCACCATTATGATATAAGGAATTCGAAATATTATTGATGTATAACCAGTACTCTAATTGTTTGACATTGAGTCATAGTGACAATTCAATGATCAAAATATATGAATCAAGTTCCGACGTTCCTTTTTATAGTGATTTTCTGTCTCATTCAACTTGCGATGAATAAAAAGAAACAGATTCTGCCTTGGTGTATTTCCACGACTATATATGAGTTTGCTACGGTTTCTAGGTTGTGCTTCAGATTTGACAGCCTGAAAACCGCGAAAGTTTCGCACTGAAAATTTTTTTTTCAATTAATCTCAAATACCGTATGTCGACTGGCATTCAAAACATCGAAATTGGTTTAGTCGTTCATCCGCAATCGACTGTCAAAAATTGGAAATTTTTACCCATTTCGCTAAAAACCCTCTAAGTTCTAACGCCTGTAGGTCGAAAATGGCTGTACCGATTGAATAATGTCATAGGAGCGAGGTTGTATACTTATTCAATTCCAAATCAAAAGTTTTTTGAAATTTGGTATTTGCTCACTCCGATGCTGAGATGAGAATAAATTTTGAACCAAAAAAGGTCGTAGCACTAAATTTACGAAATAAAAATAGTTTTTTCGCAATAACTAAAGAATGATCGAATATTTTGCATTTAAATTTGATATTATATTATGGTTTTATCTTCAAATGGGTAATTTTTTGACCAGAAATTCATTCCGAACATTTCATCCGGGTGTGCGCTACAGGGGGTTGTGGTTGCTTTTCCTCCAATGTTTTCTACGCCACTAATGTTATTTCGATTATTTTCAATTTTTCGAATTCATTGTTTAAATCTGTCTAAAAAATGCGTCACCTTCAACTGAGTCAAAATGAACAGTTTTCGGAATATTTGACCCAAACTAGAAGTTTGCATAGTAATTTTTCATCATTTTCAGTAGTAGAAAATTACACAAATGTTTGTTTTTTCTTTCTGTATGAAATAACTTCTTCTGGTAAAGCTACAGAATGATATCTAAAAAGAATCTAAAATCTACTAATACTCCCAGAAAAATACTTTTGCAATTTTCTACTACTGAAAATGATGAAAAATTACTACATTTTAAGTCTCAAATCCAATAAAATGTGACGAATATTGTGAATGTTTCGTAACACAAAGAGTCCCCTGGCAATACCAATGCTGTTTTCTTGTAATTCGCATTGTTACCTAGCGTCACATGAATGTGACATCCCAGGGATGTTTGTGTTTACTGGGATATTATTCTTTTCACCCACCTAATATCGATGATCCCTTCACCGTTCGTATTGATGGTACCGTTATTGCACAGGTAATACTCCACGCAGGTGCAATCCCCCGTGCCCGGAATACCGCCTCCCGAGTCCCCTCCACCTCCCACCAACCCGCTGTTGGGCTGCAGGTCGACGGGGGCGGCGGTGGGAGCCGAAGTGGGAGCTGGGGTGGGAGCCGGGGAGGGCTCCCCGCCGCCCGTCGGCGGTCGCTTGAAGACGGTGTCGATGAGGGAGCCGAGGTCGCCCAGGTCGTCTTGGCAAAGGACCGTGGTAGCTGAGCAGAGGGCGAGGAGCAGGGTTGACAGCCGAAGTGGCATTTTGTCTGGAAAAAAATTGCTGTAATAGGGCAATGTCAAAAGTTATACACTGCTCCAGGCTCCAGGAAATAAACGCACCACCAAAAAGTAGCCAAAAGTTTAGGAAACAATTTCGTCAAAAGTAGAGTCACTGGTTGGTATTAGGTAAACTAATACCATCCAGTGACTCTAGTCAAAAGTACCAGTCCGATTTGGACGGACGTTCTTTGTTTTAAATGACAGGTTAATTCCTTCCGAACATTGATGTGGAAACTGTATTCGCATCAACACCTCATTTTTATACATACCAGGTGTATAGCAATTACAGCGTGTTTTTTTATGAAATTTGTAATACCTATACCCTCTGTAGAGTGTATAATAGTTTGACTATCGAGTTAGAATTGAAATCACACTTCAGCCTTATCTTTCACTCAATTCACTGAATTCACTCCATTATTATCTTCCTTTATTACTCGAGGAACACCATTCTATAGCATAACATGATTTCATGGCGAATAAATATCCACCACGATCCAAAAAAATTGGTTTGCTTATTGTAACAAATAATTGAATCCTTCGATCGTGACATCAAGTCCATCGATCGTATCGTCAGACACATAAATAAGAAATAACGTTTGTTTAATTTATGTAATCTTTCTGATTCCAATTGTTTATAATGAACGGAACATATGAAATCCACCAAAACCTGTTTATGGAGGTGAATCTTTGTTACCTTGAAAATGGTAATTATTGAATTACCTATATCTATAGAGACGTGTATTGAAAAGAATAATTCAGTGTGTAGGTATTTTCACACAACCTGAAAATGATAGACTATAGGTACAGAATGAGCAAAATGAAACTCTCAATGAAACCGTTGAATATAATTAAAAGTTCAATTTTCTTTTCTATGAAATTTTCAAAAATTTATAGTATAACGATATTTTTACGAATTCTTAATTTGTTAGTCTAGATATTTTTTGAGTCCTTTATGAAGCAAACAGAAAAAACATTCATGTGGAAATTAAGGATACCTATTGGGATTCACCAACTTCGTATATTATTCATAGGTGCCAATCAGTGATGTGCACCAGTTATAACCCCATTTAATTCAAAATAATATCGCATTTAATTGATCATCAACAAATTAAAATAGCTTATGGAATGCTTCAGGAAATGCATCAGTGATTAGATGGTTACATGTACATAATTATTACTATTATTGTAAGGTACATCTCTGCTCAAAAAATGAGAAGAAATCGTCTAAAAATTTCATAGTTCAGTTGGGAAAAAATTGTTCCTCAAAACATTCCGTACATTTTTTTGTCTATTATTTTGCCTTCAAGACTCTACCGACTCAACTCGGGTTATCATCAGTGATTGTTTAATTTAATATTGCTATTTTATTATTTATTTTAATAATGAATACAAATATGACGTAGTAACAACTTGAAATTGATCTAAAAAATACTTGAGAACATTTCACAACGTCCGAGAGTCAATTCAAAATTGTCTGAATAAATACCATCGACACATCACAGATTGATATACCTTTAGGAGCTTATATAGTATAGAGGTGCCAGGAAGTGTCTATAACCTCTGTGGACTGAGGCGGATTTTGTATTTTATTTTTTTCTGATTATACCATCATCATGGAATATCCTGTATTATTTGAATGATTTTCAAGGACAAATGTGTTAATATTGAGGTGATTATCAATCATATTTAAAATAGGTATATTATTCAGACAGGTATTGAAGTATTTACTATATTTTTTGCACAAGTGTACATACTTTGATGGATCTTCTCACGTATGGGTACCTACTATGAATAATAATTATTTATACCAATGCATATTATCATAATAATTCAAATTTTTGTACCTATCTACCTGTTGTATAACAACTTATTGAAATCTTTTGTGTACTTACCTGAGTCAACTTATTAATTACAGCACCTAAAGTTTGTCGAATCCTCCAAATAAAACCAGAGAGCCTTGAAACTCCGAAACAAGACCGGTCACTATATAAAGCTTGTCAATATTCCTCGATGATGATAATTACGCGACCTGAGCGGTCAACTGGTCAACAATCAACAATTAATAATCTTCAATTCGACTTGCGCTGATACCCTACTACTGTGACTTCTGTGGAGTGGATGAAATCTAGTGGGGAATGCCCAGCCATGATCGCGTGATAACTCGATTAAATAATTTGCCTCTCGTTTTTCGTATCGAATATTTGCATCAAGGTGGAAACGGGGATATATTGCGATAATTGATGGTCGTTCATATTTGTTTTCATTTCCACGAACTTATTGTCAAAGAAGGCGGTCATTGCCATCCGATAGTGATATCGTTGCAAAAGTTTTTCGGGCTTCCCTCCTTACGAAATACAATTTATTGATAAACACTCAACATAAATAAGAAAAAATATGTGAATATTACAATGAAACTCTGAAATGGTACACCTTATATATACATGTATATGGACTGAGTTTTAATCTTTCCCTGAAGATGTGAAGTGTAGTGTGAGCAGAAATATTTGAAATTTCGACGCAATACACGCTTTTCATATCATTTTTGTTGAAGTCTACATACACTGTAGAACTCGAGAAGCAATAAACACCGACCCAGAACGATATCTAGATCTCTTCTAACTCCTTTCCTACCGACTGCGCCATTTTTACAGTTTTATAACGCGTGAATTCAGTTTGAATATGCATAAAAAACTGAAATTATAATAGTAACAAAATGAACTGAGTGTTAAACATTTTGGGATGGGTCGACCCTGCATAGTATCACTGCCATAAAAATTGAAGTGACTGCCGATTATATGTACTTACCCATGTGATTTTCTATTTTTTAATGAAAACCGAAGAAAAAAACACTGTTTTGCAATGTAAATTCGTACTTCTGCACCAAGTGTTACTATTTTTTATCGCTTGGAGCGCACGAAAGGAAATCCCTATAATGTATTATTTCCATTGAAATATGTTTTCTCGAGTGTATTCTCTACACCTGGAGACTTCCACATTGGGACTTTTTTACAGTTTTTCTTTTCAACATCTTGTGGTATTTCAATTCCAAGATTTTTTTGTGAATCGAATACCACTTGATGCACAATAAAATAAGTATTAAAAAATTAGGGCATATTGAATGGACCCCGTTTCAATTCTTGAGCAGTATTTATGTCAATCATCAGTTGAAAATCTAGAAAAAAAGTGTAACTCTCTTAAAGGGTATAAAGACTGACTCCTTTCATATTTTTTCAAGTACTCATTTTGTCTTGAGGCATTGAAATCATGTATCCATTTTGATCATTACATTTTTTCTGATGTTTTCAGTCCCTTGCTAATTAGTCAACAAATAGATAATTTCTTTGTAATTTTCTTTATTTGATCATTATATATGTATAAACTCCACAAAAATAACAAATAGAATTATGAGAATAAATGTTCTCTGACAATATACAGGGTTTCCCTGGACTTCCTCTTTTCATCTCGGGAATGTATAGATGAGGACAAAATATCACCAGTACTTATCATAGGAAGTTTTTCATAAAATCCATATGTTACCAACTTAGGGGCCTTGTTTGTTCATGACATTATTTCAACATATTTCCTATTATCCCTGTTATAAATGTTGTTGAATTAACGTTATCATAATTATTTTTGCTGTGAGAATTTTTCATTTCAAATAGGACAAGTAAAACTGCATTTTTATCAAATATCATTGCTCCAATCGATTCTCCACCACCAGTACATTGTGTCCTTTGATCCATAAGACTGTCCCAACCTTGTTTTGTTGAAAAATATTGAAAAATATCTGTCATTTCAAAGTGTTGGGGTGTGGACCATCGGGGGTAGTCCGTTCCTGAGTTTGTAGCAAAACAACTGACTCCTGCATGGAATCTCATTGAAGGAATTGATTTATTTGCCCAATAACCAAAATTTGGATGATTTTGAATATTCACTTTGATAGTTATCAAAGAAAAACATTTTTCATTTTGTAACTTCCAGGGCCCATAACTTGGTAAGGAAGGAATTTTGGAAAAAGAGTTATATGAAGTACTGGAGATATTTTGACCCCATCTGTACATTCCTGAGAGGAAAAGAGGAAGTCCAGGGTCACCCTGTATAGGTTTTTTCATTAGGTATTCTATATCTTTGTTGAATAATTTAAATAAATTTCTGCATCACCAGACAATACTTCAGGTAAATTCAAATTCCAATAACTTTCCACAACAAAAAATCGAATTTCCTCATCTTGCAACATTGCAAAACAAATAATATCCAAGGAAGATTGACATATAGGTTAATTGAAAAAATTCATCACTTTTGGTTATTATTTTGAAAACATATTGGACAATGCATTTGCCTGCAATGTTTTGATGAAACAGTTCTAAAATCACAGCAGAACACAAATCGCTCGACGCACCATTCATCAATGGATCAGAACTTCCTCGCCCTGTTGAGATACATCAGGACTGGCATCTGGCACTTCTGGCATGTTGATATTCATGTTTTCCAACTGTTTTTCTACATTGCTCGTGTTCATTCCGCTGTCATCGGGCGGTTGATCATCGGGAACGTCCTTCAGTAGATCGGCCAGCTCATCTTCCAGATCTGAATCATCTAGAATCGAATCTTGCGCTGGTCTGGCTAGAGCTGATTGGATGTCATCATGTTTATCCAACATCTGCACAACAAGTTAAAGTTTGTATGGGGTTTCATTTGAAAGAAAAATGGAATTGGAATCGACATACCTCTCCCAACTTGATCATTGTGTCATCGATATTGTCCTCAGATAATCCCAAATACTTGAATGAAGTGTTGAAAGTGCTGACAGCATTTTTGTAAGCCTCAAATACGTGGGCATCACTGTGTGTATCGTGGATTTTCTCCAACAGAGTCTGTACATTGCGTAAAGCTATTGCTTTTTTCTCTAAACGTTTTTCAAGGTCATGTTTTTTTCTCAGACTGCTTTTTGCCTACAAGAGAAGAACAGTAAAAAAACTTTGGTACTTGAAAGGGGGGAATAATGGTCTGTAATTCCATAATCATTCAATTGAGAAGTTGAAACATGGTATTTGTTTGAACAAATTGAAATGTTTTTAGAAAAAAATACTGGAAAACAATTATTTTTAACATGAATATAATCCTTTTTGGGGCGCCACTGGAATAATTACGACGAATTTAGGTACGCCAAAAGATACATTTTAATATTACAAAACACACCTGCCAATTTTAACGAAAATCGGCAAAGGGGTTTTTGATCTGGGAACAAAAAACTGACATTTCAAAAAACTTAAATACCTTGTATCTCAATTTATTGTGATCACAATATATGAAACAACCTGTATAGGGACATAATATATGTATATGATGAATGAAAGCATTTTGATGATGATGAAATCTTCCTGATGGTTATACATAGATAGTTATTTACCTTTCCTGTACCTATAATATTAATAGGTATACCGGGTGTGTCAGAGTTGTGATGAAATAAGCCGAAGGACACCCCCTGGAAATTCTGGATGAGAACTAATTAGTCCAGAAAATGTCTGATGATTGTGAGTATAAACCATGAACAGTTCATTCAAGCATTTTCAAGGTATTGATAAAAAAACACCCAGTATCTCGGAAACGAAGAATTTTTGGACCCATGATCTTTGATTTTTTGTTTTTTCTTGAGAGGAATCTCTCCTAGGTTTGTGTCACAGCAACTCTGAAACACCCTGTATAGATCAATATGGCATAGCAAACGAATGTTCTCTGAGTCACCCTGTATAGCAGCAGAATTCTTGTCTCAATAATAATCTCTAGTTAGCTATGAATTCAGAAATATGTGCACTACTGTTACCATAGCAACTGATGTTTGAATATTGTCAAAATATTTCTATCTTCTAGAAAGATTACAAGTCATGAATAATTCATCCAGAATGTTGTTTCAAATCAGTTTCCTCATCCTGTGTTCCGCCCAATACACTATTAGTGTTCCAACTTCGAAAACAACAAGAACAACAAGTGCACCTCTGACTACTTCAATACTGGAAAATGAATTCCTGTCCAAAGTAATGCATGCCATACCACATGAGAAAATAACCGAGATAGCTAATGCTCATTTGAAATCTGATGAAAACTTCCAAGCTGCTGTCAAGTACCTGCAAAATGAGACGTTCCTGGATCTTATGGAGACCATAGAAAAGAAACCTGAATGGACTGCTTTCAGAAACATTGTCAAAGAAGATACAGGCCTGGACATTTCAAGTGTTTTCAAATGTGTGGTCAATTTCCTCAGAAGTGTCAAAGTTGATGGAACTGGAACAGCAGAAAGGAGCTTCAAACCTTTCATCATGGATGTATTCAAAGAAATACCTTTTCCAAATATCATGGCTGAGCTGAATTCTAAGGAGAATGCTAGTAAATTTGAAGAATTGTACAATAAAATGTCAAGTGCCCATACTAAGAAAATTGTAGCAAATCTGATACATTTGCCAGAGGTCAAAAAGTTTTTAGATTCAATCAATGATATGGATCTGAAAGTATATGATTTACTAGCATTTATTTTTGGATTTCTTAAATGGGGAGAAATCCAGATACCATCAACCTATGAAACTTTATTAGTTCAACTTTCATAAATTCATGAATATGTTCAAAATGTGTATTTATGTATTGTTATTGTTATATTATGTTAGTTGTTTAATAAATTTCTAACTTACCAATTGTCTGTGATTTTTTGTCAGATGTACTTTGGCTTCCTTCACATAGGATTCAATGTTATCTTCCAACTCTTCTATACCTTTGGAAAGGACTAATTCATTTTGCTCCAAGGTATAGATCCCCAAATCAATTTCAGTTATTGAATTCACTTCATTGCCATTGCCATCACTGAATTTGATGAGGAAAGCCTCAAGTTCATCTCTCTGCTTTGAATTGCCAAATTCAGTGAGAGCCACCAGGTTCTGATTTGCTAAATAATGTAACAATAACTTAACATCTTCTGCCTTGGTGGAGTTTTTACTCAAAAGAGATAACAGAGTTTTCAAGCTGATCAGTTTGTTCCTACATTTTTCTGGTATAGAATTGAGAAGCTCATCACATTTACATTTGATGACTTCTAAATGTACAAAGGATTGTTGGCTCAAATCAATAGTGAATACAGTGTTCTTGATTTTATTGAGAGACCAACTGAATGGCCGCTTTATGAGTGTTTCTGTAGCCCAACCACCCCAACTTTCAGAAGGCTTCCTCAAAAATACATGGATAGGTTGTATTTCACCATTCTTGTGCATGTCAGAAATCACTTCAGTCAGACAGCTTGGGGGCCTTCCATTCCTAACAAAAACATTATTCAATGATACAAGTGTGAAGGTATATATTTCATTGGATTGGCAGTAGGCTTTTATGATGTTCTTCCAAGATGAAATTTTGTTGTCCCAGTCCTTTGAGTTGACACTCCGATTTCTAAGAGGTGCGAATAAAACGTTGATTCTTTGTTCGTCTTTGAGACAGTCTGGCAAGTTATCTTGCGATATTTGGAACATCTCAGTACGATTTCTCGGATGTTTCAGAATGTTTTTATTTAGATCTTTATCATATGAAACATAACCTCTAATATTTGACACTTTTGACTGATCAATTTTGCCGGATAGCCAGTGAGCCGCCGGAGGCTTCTTCGTCTCTTTTAATTTCAACATTGTGAAGTCAACGCAGAACAATGAACAATGCCATTAGCCTTTCTATGCAAAGAAAGCACTTCAAGCTGCCGACTTACTCAATTCAGAAGAGAAGAAGTATGAAGTGAACCTAAAAGTTCTCGAAGCTTTTTTTGAGGATCATTTAACATTTTCTAATAAATGAAAATGGTAAAGCACCCATTATAATAAGTACCATATTTCCCAACAATTGCACGATTGCACCTTTTTCAATCTATGATATTAGCACATATGAGATGGCGTTACAAAGGAAACAATTAACAGAAATCCCTACTGATGCTGTAGTCCTCAGTGAACTACAAGCAACAGACTATCAAATGAGGATACTGAATAACTGGACTCCCCAATCAGATATGTAAAGGTGAATTTATGCACACCGCTTTTTCTTTAATTTGTTGCTTTCACTAGCTGTCACTTGAATTAGTTTTTATTTAAGGATTTTGATACCTTTATGCAAGACCATGGCAAGACCTTATTTTACTTTAAGCTCTTCTTTTTTATGTAAATACCAGTACTTAACCCGATCCTATCTTTGTGTCTGAGTGTTCTAGCTGTTTATGAAATTGGATTTAACCTCAAATGTGTTTGTGAATTTCAAAGTTCTACCGCCATTTCGAATCCCCTTCATTTGTGAAAAGGTAAAGTGATTTCCAAGAGTTGAGTCAAAGAATAGTTATGGAAATTGAAGAAGCAGTTTTGTTCCTACTGATTGCCAGCATGTCATATGTTGTTTTGACGAGGAGGAAGCCAAGACGATATGCAGTGAGGCCTATCAATCGTTGCCGTCAACAAAAGGGGCTTTTTAATAATTTATTAACGGCCATGGTTCAGGAAGATCAGGAAATGTTCTTCAAATACACAAGAATGACAACCAAGATGTTTTTTTATCTTCTCAGTTTGGTTGAAAACAAACTTATAAGAGCTCCATCAAGACATCCACTTCCACCTGCACATAGGCTGATTATCACATTACAGTAAGGACGCACATAGTTCTATTGATTGGTCATACATTTTCTTCATGATTTCAGCTACCTTTCATCAGGATGCTCCATGCAAGAGTTGGCTTTCAGTCATTATCTGGGGTTGACGACTGTGAGCAATGTGATAAGGGAAACAACTCAAGTCATCTGGGAAGTCTTACAGCCAATTGTACTGGCAGAGCCTTCAAGAGAACAGTGGAAAATAATATCGGAAGAATTTTTCAATAGGTGGAATATACCCAATTGTTTTGGTGCTATTGATGGGAAACACATTGAAATACAGGCCCCCTTCAATGCAGGATCCCAATTCTATAATTATAAGAAAACACACAGTATTGTTTTGATGGCTGTATGTGATGCCTATTATAGATTTATATTAGTAGATGTTGGTGCATCAGGAGGGAATCATGATTCCATTGTTTTCAGTGATTCTGCTTTTGGTACTAAAATTTTAAATAATCAATTACCACTACCAGAACCTCAACACCTTCCTAATACAGAAATATTATTGCCAAATTTTTTCATTGCTGATGCTGCTTTTCCTCTGCATTCACATATAATGCGACCATATCCTGGAAAACATCTCAGCTTGACAAAAAAAATATTTAATTATAGGATTTCAAGGGCTAGGAGAACAATTGAGAACACTTTTGGCATCTTAGCGCAAAGATGGAGAATATTGAGAAGGGCTCTAACAACCAGTATAGAAACATGTGACAACATAGTGTTAGCATGCATAGTATTACACAATTTTATACAAAGAGGAGAGCAGGAGATGACCCTGGATGAAAAAAGATATTGCCCAACTGGCTATGTTGATGAAGAATCAGCAGGTGGAGTTCTACGACCTGGTTTGTGGAGACAAGAAAATGTTAATTTGAGAAGAGTTCAAAGAGTTGGAGCCAATAATGCCAGTAGAGCTGTGTTTAGGATTAGGGAAAATCTAACTGAATATTTCAATTCTCCAGAAGGTGGCTTACCATGGCAGGAATCATATGTGATGCGTGGAAGTGTTCCACCACAGTTTAGGATGGAGCTCCCTACATAATAGCTATTAACTTTTTTCATGAAGTGATTCTTTATGAATGGGTAATATATTGTACCTGCAGATAATTTCAAATTGTTCTTGATTAAGTCCCTACAATGTTGATATGAGAAAGAATTACTGAAATATATCATCAACTTTCCCTTTCCATTCAGTATCAGTATTTGCCTCACAATTATCAGAAAAATTCATATTTTTTACTGTAGAATCTGCAGGTGAAATATTTTATTTCATTGTTAATCAACTTTTGTGTACATATATTTTAATAATAAGTACCTACTTGTGTTTTTTATTTAGAATGAATTCATTTTATTTTTCAATATACTTATTATGTATTTGCAGTTTTCTAGTTTTAGACCATTCATAAAATAGTTCTCATATTATAGTTTCCACACTTCACTTAAGAAATAAAAACCAAATGAATGGAATTTACACAATAATCAAATATATTTTAGTTAATACATATATTGAACATTATATGTGTACATGTACAATGCATGTAGAAGAACATAAAAAAAGAAACTTAAAATCAAATTCCTAAAATAAAAATTAGACCCAATTTGAACATGAATTCAGGTACAATGGTTATGGAACATTAAATGTGTACATGTAGAATGCATGTAGAAATACATAAAAATAAAGAAACTTAAAAATCTAATTCCCAAAATAAAAACATGAACAAAATAAAAATTAGACCTAATTTGAACATAAATTCAGGTACATTGAAAAACAGATGAAAAAAGATTATTACATATAACTTTCGAAAAGCTTCAGGATATCAGCTTCAAGAGCCACTTTCTTTCTTCCATCCTGGACTTCCTTCAGTAATCCTGCTACCACAGCTCCAAAATGGTCCTCAGGATTCGACCTGTTCTCTTTTTTTTCTTCCTCTTTCTTTCCCATCACTTTACTGAACTGGCTTAAGGCACCAGTGAGTGCTTCTCCTAATGCCTTATTTTCTCCCCTCTTTTTTTTCACTTGTGTCACATCATTCTTTATGTCTCTTAATTGTGGCTTACATCTTTTGACTCCAGTTGGTGTTGAAGTTGAGCAGCTGGGCTGGCTGTTCTGTTCCTCTGAACACACAGCCTGGTGGCTGTTTTGTTCCTCAGAACACTCAGCCTGGGAACTTTCACAAAAATTAGACTCTAAATCAAATTGAGTTTCTGATTCTTCCATGTCATGTGTAGAATTTTCGGTTTCTTCAATATCCTCTGTGGTATCATTAGTGCATTGGGTGTATGATAAGGAATCCCATACATTTGATGCTCTTGGTGCAGGAGTAACATTTCCTCTAGTACTGAAAGTTTATTTTTAGCATAAAAATAATTGAATCCCTATAATACTGAAACTTACCGCCTTGGAATAACATGGGGTTTCAACCATGAGAGGTCCTCATACAAGTGCCAGGGCGTTCTGGGTGCACTGCCAGTTGGTATTGTTTTTTCTTTCCTCAATTCAGTACAAAACCTGTTCCTTAGTAGAAGCCACCGTTGCTCACACTCCTCAGCTGCAGAATATACATGTTTATTACTGTTGAATACACTCCAATTGACAAATTTGCCAGTTATACTTACGGGTTGTATCTAATATTTCAGAGATGGTTTTCCATGTATTCTCTTTCTCGGTTTTGTTCTTGTATGCCTTCTGTGCTTTGTCATACAAGAATGCATATTGACGCACTAATTCTATTAGACTAATGTCGTCGTACATTTTTAGTTTTTTTACAAAAAGTATTGAATTGAATTTGAAGACTGCAAAACAAACAACAAACTCTACAAGATAGAAAATACAAAAATGTTATACACCTAACCATACTTCTTTAAAAATAAAAAGAAGAAATGCGACTGACGACAAATGACGGAATCGCGTTTGCGCAATTTCGATTTTACTTTTATTTGTTGTTAAAAAGATGAAAGTTGGTTATCTTAAGAGAATAGTTAAATAATGTGAAATCTTAATTTTGGTGCATAAATGGTTATATGGAAAAACCATGTTTCAACATCTTAGTAAAATCGTTAATGAAAGTGAAATTACAGATTAATGAAAAAGCGGCGTGCATAAATCCGCCTTAAGTTTCATATATTCAATTTTTATGTAGCATGCCAAATTATATCTAGTCACCTTAGATGATCTGAGCTAGTCACTTATAACCACAGAGAGTGTGACCTTTTATTGTTGTTCTGAGATTATTCCCAACTTTATTGTATTTGCAGATTTGGTTATAAGTATGGAACAGCTCTTCTTGGAGCTGCCACAATGTTCACAGGCATGTTCATCAACAATTTCTTCCGGATAAAATTCAAACTTCTCAAATATGGATGGATATCTTCATATCTACCTATGTGTATAGTTCCTAGTACCCTTTCATGTTTATATCACCAGCAAGTGAGTTATAAGGTTCTGAAGGAGTTCCTATCACTCATATCAGTACATTGGTTTCAGTTTGTGTTGAGAGATGTTGTGTTGATGAAGCATGATCAGTGCCCCATTTGTCTTCAAACTAGAGCAGCTGCATTTCAAGCATTCTTAGGATGTGGGCTCCCAGTTTTATTAGCACCAGTGACTTCACTTGCAGTAAGTTTATATTTCTGAATTTTATTGAGAAGGGACTTAAATGAATTTTTTTTTTTAGTTGGTACATAAGTACAACACATATAACATGCCTTATGTAACAAAGGAGCCTCTGAAAGTTTTCAAAGTATTGCAAAGTAAATTCACTCCCATAAAAAATACATTGTTTTGGATTTTTCTTGGCCAGGCATTGTTAGGGAGCTTGGTGACTTATTGGGAGACTGGATCAGTCCATAAGGTGTATTCCAAGCTTTATGCAATAGAGAAACAAATGGAAGAAGAACAGTTTTGAGACAGTTACTTGCCCATAACTCATTTGGTGAGGAATTTTTTGTTCTAGTCTAATTTTTGAATAAAGTTTATAGAAACTTTCCATAATTTCTTCACTTCTTCTCCTGACTGAAAATGTTTTTGTTATGAAAAAACAATACAAGAGCACTGAACGCTTTATTGAAAATTGAAATAATTATTTACAATATAAAATAATAGATGATCATAGAAAAAACAAGATTCATCACTATTCAAACATGAACAGCACAAATAAATCATTGAATTGAAAGAAAAAACATCTAATATTAATCCATATAGGCCAAATCATTCTATATTTCTTGATTATTGCCCTGTAAACATGAATGACATATTTTCAAGCATAAATGAAATAGTTGATATCCCTTTGTGAACTTCATAGATATGCTTACATTTTGACACTGTAATATAGGTGCAGATGTATTATTTGAATAAAACTTCAGGAGTAATTTTGGTCAATTAGTTATCATTTGATTCTCTGCATGATTCTCCTAGTACATATTTTGAAAATGCAAGTAAGATTCATTGGTATTTTGAATTGGCAGTGCATATCCATATCCACACATATAATTACATTATAACTATTTTTTTTTTCTCTAAATCTTAAGCTTGAAAACATCAATAATTATATTTTAGTTCATAGTGGTACGGTCTGAGTTATAACACATGAAAGATGCTTCCATGAGAAGAACACTGAAAGTTATAGATTTTTGATAAAACATTCAGAGCTTTTCTCATGGAGATGATACCCTAATAATTATATCCATATATTGCAACATTCATATTATTTTCTATGGAAACATTTATTTAATCAACAAACAGAATAAGATTCTTTCCTTTGATATCCACAAGTAGTATTATAAGAAATTATATAGATTATTTCAGTCAGTCAGTTTGAAGAAATTACTTAGCCCTAAATCTACAATAACAAATTTTTTAGAATCATTTTATTCACATCTTCACCTACAAAAATTCGCACGCCATTGGCAAGAGGAATTTTCATAGGTATTTTGAATTTTTATTGTTTCCACATTTGTATTTGGTTGATATTTCTCTTTGGTTATATATTTATATACCTATTTTCGAATATACAAAGATCAGTAGTTCCATCTACTTTCATTAGTATGTACAAATTTCAAACAATAAATATTAGATTGAAGATATATGATTGATAGGGGCAAAATTAGCTTGGATTCTTAGAGAGCATGGCAAAGTTCATCCTTTGTATATTCAAAATAAATGTGAAGCATTTCAGTGCCCAAAAACTATAACTATATAAAAGCATTTCCTTTCAATCCATAAAATACTATGAGTGATTTCAATCATCTTATTCAAGATTAATCCTAATATAAATATAATTGTTGTAAAAAATATCAACATTTATACACAACCACACTTATTTACACCTTAATGTAAAAAGCAAAATATTTGCATAATTTAAAACTATATAAAAACATCACACTGTAGATATATTAGACAGAGATGTTACTCAATTTTTTCCTCATCAGTATTGAATGTAATTTGAATGATATCAAGTATTTCCTTTCAGAAGGAAACTATTAGGTGGCAGTAGATTATTAGATAATATGGACAGTTGCTGTAGATGAGTTGATTGTTTTCATTTTACAATGTAATATCTGTGTCTAATAAATATACGGAAAATTGTAAATGCTAAGAATATTTTCTTTTGAAGAAATAAAATGGAATGTAATAAAGACACCATGTGGAATAGTTTGAAATATTTCTTGTTTCATAGATGCTCCCAAATATATTAGTTTACTTTTAAATATCTGAAAATAAGCTGTAACATTCATAATATAGATTATCAACAATTAGCTTCCGAATTTTTCACATCTGAAATGCTTCAATTTTTCGTTAATCTTATTGTACAAATACAAAAGTTCTAATAGATATTTGTTTCTAATGGTAAAAATATGCCAATATTTGTTCTCACATTACTCAAAATCTACAGATGGATTTTTGATATAAAATGTAAAGGTCAGATTTAATTGAAATCAATTTGTGAATATAATAATGTAGCAATGAAAAAAAGGGTAGGTATGCATCAAAACATTGGAAATTGGCATATTTTTTAAAGTTTATGAAGCAGAGGTCATCAAGTATGACTATTTACATGAAATGAATTATCTAATAATAATATAGATTCTCAAATGAATATGTTCACGCTAACTAATACACTTTAAGGAAGGTTTTACAAATTGGTAAAGTGTGAAAATTTTCAGTTATTACATTATGATAATATTTCTGTGATAACTTATAATTGATTTGTGTTAAGTTTATATAAAGAGTTGAGAGTTGGTGACATGTATTAAGTTGAAAGAGGAACACCTGTAATGTTAATTTATAAATCATTTTTCCAGTATCGGGAGATTTTAGAATCAAGATGACTAATAGTGATTTTTGAAAAGTTGGGTGTTAAGTATACCTATGTATGTAGCTAAATAGAGAATTTCAGTCAGCCTTGAGAATCTTCCCTCTTCGAATTCCTTGCCAATGGAAGTATTTCCAATAACTTATAACCTCCAAAAGTTTTAAAAAATCCAACACCTACTTCCTCTCCCTATCCTCCCTAGGTATGCACGAGGATCTCCGAACGTTATAGGAATTTCCTTTAGTGCTCTCCAAGAGATAAAAAAAGATGGTAACGCAAAAAAAATGAGAAGAACTGGATAAGACCATTCTTTCTTTTTTTTGTCAATACGAATTTTTTATCATTTTACGTTCGGAATCTGAAGCCAAGGACAGAAGGGGAAAACAACGTTTTTCACTTTCAAAGCTAGTCGAACTTTTCTGTTATCAGTAGACTTCAGAGTGATATCAATTATGGGCAAAAGTAGAGTATCCTAGGGAAATAGACTGCTATATGTTTTTGTACATATTGAAACTTTCAATATATTCTCATTACACATCGCGTATTTGACGTTGGTTCACAATATTTAAAATCAGTGGAGTTGAAAAAGACCAACTTCAGCAAGATTGAATTATTTAGGGCTCTTGCAAAATAATACGTAACTGGTATCGTGTGGTATTACTACTACTTTTTAACGGGTCAACTGAGAAAATTGAAAGTTGGCATGAATACTATATTTTGGAGTGAAATTGATAGATGAAAATTTCAAGATGACGACTGGGCGCCATCTGGGGAAAAAACGGAAACTGATTTTTGCAGAAAAAATTCACTACGTGTATATCACGAACTTTGGAAATACGTGAACAACAAATCAGTTATTTGAGAGTATGATATTTTCGCGTAATTATCACCGTTTAAAATTCAAACTCGATCAAAACAAAGCTAGCAACTGTCAGTCGTTTTATAGTCGGAAATTTTGTATTACAACTAGTGAATCGAAAATCTCCCGCAACTGCCAGCCTGCAAACCCAAACGGTAAAACTGCATTTATCATGCGATGGTTTTTTTTTGAAAAATTTTTTTGGTACTTACGTATTTTTCTCTGAAAAACACGAATTTGATAATGAAAATGTGAACAAACCACTATTTATCGAGATATTTCAAGAAAAAGTCCGAAATTTCACCTTCTTTCTCCCTCGTATTGGATGCGTTTACAGGTACTTGCTTTTATTATTTTGTCATTGGACACTTTATATACTCATGATGTACTTCACTGACACATTTTAAGATAGAAAATTCAACAGAAAATATGATTTTTATGGCGAGTTTTTCATATTTACTGAACAAGCATACCAGATGACGGCCATTTAATCAATAGTCAATCCAAATACGTGATGTCAGAGGACATTTTAGATTGCCTTGGAATGACATCACACCATATACCTACTAAACTACACACGCCATTTTTTCAAATGATATTCTTCCTTCTTCTTTTCACTAAATATGGATAAATCTCAAGAAAATCATATTTCTAGCTGACTCATATAATAGAAAAGAATGTGTCATACATTGTGATATGTATATATAAGTTGTCCAATGATGAAAAAAGAAGGGCGAATTGTTCTAAATGATATCCAGAAGACAGGCGAAAAAGAAGGTGAAATTTGTAACTTTATAGTCGAATATCTTAATGAATAATGGTTTGCTCACATTTTAATTACCAAATCCTTGTTTTTCAGACAACAATAAGTAAGTACCAAAAAAAATTTCCGAATAAAAACCCATCGCATAATAAATGCAGTTTTACCACCCAAACGAAAACAACTCTTCACAAAAACCCTGTATCATCTTTTCCCGTCGCTTTTACACGGATCGAGTCTTTTAGATCAGCAGGTATCTAGCGACGAACAGCATCAACAACTGCGGCACCACCGTCGCTAAGGATGCACCGCTCACTTGGATGTCCCCTTCTTTCAGGAGCGGCGCGTCTATCACGTGGATGACGCCATTGGTGCATTCCACGTTCGGTCGGAAAACCGGGATTTTTTCGCCGCGCCAATGAATGATGAAAGCTGCAGAAGAGGAATCATATTGATAGGCAAAACGTGAAAAAAAAAATGCTTTCTAGCTGTTTGCACTACTCCCTGATGATATTTCGAATGGTTTTTGAATACTATCATTGATTATTTACACAAGATGAACCACCTTTATCTTCTATCTTATTGTACTGCCGTTACACCAAACACATTGCCTGCCAAGCCTTGATTGGGGATTGGCTACGGGGGCCAAACCATCTATTATTTGTGAGTATTTTTGTTAAAATGAAGTTTTGTTTGATACTTATGTAGGCTGAGGTCTTTGCCATTCTGGCAGTAGCGGAGAGGCAAGAGGTGAAAGAGGGGCCAGAGCAGAAGATTTACATCTGCTCGGATAGTCAGGCGGCTCTCAGGGCTGTCTGCCATCCTAAACCAAGCTCAGCTTTGGTGCAGGAATGTGGCGATGCTTTTGAGAAACTAGCTGAACAGAAGGAAGTCGAACTAGTATGGGTTCCGGGGCACAGGGGGGTGCCCGGGAACGAGGTGGCCGACGAGCTGGCTAGAATCGGATCCGCGACACCGTTCTGGGGACCGGAGCCTGCACTGGGCATAACAAGAAGCCAAACTTCGTCTGCCCTTGACAAATGGGCGGACGAGGCACTAGAAGTATATTGGAGACGTATAGGCGGCTGCACGCAATCGAGAGACCTGGTGGCCGGTCCAAGCAAGCCAAAGACGGCTTGGTGACTTGGCAGGGATCGCCAAGTCCTGCGCCTTCTTATAGGGATACTGACAGGGCACAACAGGTTACGCGGACACCTATCACTCATAGGTGTGGAAGATAGTCCCACTTGCCGTGAATGCGGAGAAGATGAGGAGAGTGTGAGGCGTATGGAAGGATGAGATTCGAAATCTTTGGAGTAGATAAACTACAACAGGAAGATTTGGTCGAATTAGAGTGGACGGACATCTTGACCTTCATCAGAAGGACGGGAAGGTTCGAAAAGGACAACTAAAAGAGGGATGTGTAGATATGTGGAGAGCAGGGGTTGGCAAAAAGGGCCCATGGGAGCCTACTTGCCTGGCTACAGCCTCCCCACAGTACTACTACTACTACTACTACTACTTGGTACTTATGTGTTTTTTGTTGTATATTCTGGTTATATTTTTTTGGTTTCGGTGTGTCACTCGTATATGAGAGACGTGGTCCCTTGCGTGGCCCTGTAGCAGAAAAATGGCAAACTTATCGCTGGATGCTAAGTGATTCAAATGTGAGCGACGGTTTCTTCAGTGTTTTCTCTTTTGTTTCCTGGGTTCTCTATAAGCAGGCCACAAAAAAATCTCGATACGAGCATTTCAAGATATATCAGCCGCAGACCTACTTGATTTGAAGAAATCGGACAAACCACTACTAGGGACTGAAACGGCAAAAGCATCTACTTCATCGTATCATCCACAAATTTGTTTGACATGTTTCAATGAGATATATCAGTTCAATATTTAGTTTGATTTTTTACCTCATTTTGTACGGAAATATAATAGTTTTGACTTTTTGTATTACAAAGTCTTTAATGTTTTAAATTTTGCTCAAACCAAGATTCACATAGTTTTCTCCAAGGGCCACTCTCTACATTCCCCATTTGAAATGTACGGCAGCGTGATGCATTTGTGAGAGACATGCACTGATAGGGAATAATATCTGTCTCTCACATATGAAAGACGAAGCACCCTGGGATACAATCATACCGCCAGACATCGTTAATAGGCAAATCAAATGAGGATTTTTTGAGGAATTACATTTAATTCAATAATAAATAGGGGTAAATTCTGCTTAAAATAAGTACATAAAACTCCGAATTCGGTTAAGTAGTACAGCCGAGATCTATAGTCAAAAACCCGAAACTTTTCTCATTTCAGTGAAACTTGCGACTTTCCAGGACCACATAATATCTTCGTCGCGTCAGACGCGATGTTACAAGCAATAGACTGAAAACATTATCAAAAATGTACTCCTTTTGGGTTCCTAAAACTTAAGCTCACCTCCTGGGGGTGATGCAAACTCACATTACACGTATTCAGAACCAATTGAAAGTATTGAAATTCCAGCTTGGTGACAATTAATTCCTCGAAAGATTCTCATTTGTTTGGCCTATTATCGCTGTCTCGCGTTATGATTGTAACAATCAATGTGTCTGGCATAATTTTTATTAAAAGCAAACATAGTCGGCTACCAACCCACAAAAATTCAGCGCTCTATTAATCGTACGTTGCATTGATTTTTTTCAACCTTTACGGCCATACCACGGCCGCCTTCACTACTGAAAATCTGCCAGACATCCCAATCAGTTTTTAATAATGTTACGGCAGTACAATAAGGTAGGAGATATCGATCTATTATTCGGACAATGAATAAGTACTTCCAATGGAAGATCAAATTGAACCCTCGGAAGGGAGCGGAGGCCTCCCAAAACCAGAATAATTATTCCTGGATGGCCATGAGTTAGAATGGTCTTCACAAGTTGCACATTGAGCAGCAAGTTTCGAAAGCCAGAAGAGCCATTGGAGCCCTGTAGCCTTTTTTAAACAGACGAAGTAAATTGTGTTTGAGACAAAAATTGAATATTTTCTTCATGGCTTTCAGGCCAATTTTAGTGTATGCCTCGGTAGTCTAAGGCCACACGGCTAAATTTCATATCATCAGATTACAAACATTGCAAAACAAAATCGCGAGAATGGGAACAAGATCTCCTTGGTATGTTCGGAATAATCAAGTCCCCAGGGATCTGAAACTTCCTTCAATCGTGTCCGTCATTAGAGAACGAAAAACAAAAGCTGAGTTTCATGAGAATCAGCTTCTTCGAAATGCAGTTGATCGAGATCCTTTTCTCATGTCCTTGATATTTATTGGTTACGCTCGATCATTTTTAATTTCCAGAATGTATTTCTGAGACTTATTTGAGGCAGAAGGGCTGTTCGCAACAAACCTCAATACAGACTACAGTACTACATACAAATGTATTGGTGTATATATTTTTCAAATGCATAGTTATTCTACCACACTATTGTACAAATATGTGCTCACATCCTGTTTAGCTGAATCGATACATGATGAAAGTGTCATTATATCAGTGATATATCCACAGGCGTGATTGGTGCTCCAAGTACTGATGATTACATAATACATATAACACTTTAATTTCGACTGAAAAGTAGGTTATAAATGTATGAAAATGCTCAAATCAAAGTCGAATTTAAAGTAACCAAAACAACAAAATACAAAAAGCACACAGTTACTCTTCAAAAACTTACTTATATTTTCGGAATCAGGATTATCTGGGGAGAAGCAAATGAAAAAAAAGTTAAAACAAAATCATTACGCAAAAACAACTGCCTTGATTAGTAATGCGGGGAAACAAAGGGCATCTAATAGATAATTATCAATTAGGGATCTAAATGGGAATTGTGAAATAAGTATTCTGTTTTCGAATAAATTCGTAATTGAGAAAGTTGTGAGAACACTCACTTTATCTCCAGAAGAACGAGCGAGGAGCATCATTATTTCATAGCCTCCACTTGTAATTTCGGATTATTAGATAGCATAAAATCTCTCTTCTGCGAAATGACATTGTAAAATACCACGGAATATTTTATGAAACTGCATAACGTTTTACAGATTGAAATTCCAAAGAGATGAGAAAGTGAATCCAGCTTTACGTCAAATGAGAGAGCAGCAATTACTATCAGATGAATAATAGTCCTCCATTATAATACATAATATATCCCCCTCATTTCCTGTCAGCTATGCCTTTTACTGCTCTGCTATTGTTCCTCCTTCTCAATAATATTTAATGAAATGCTGACCCTATTCGAAAGCTCTAGTCGGTTTTCTCTCGTGAAACGAAATTGACTATTTCATTCAACAAAATCAAACTATTGGAAAAGTAATCTCTTGTCAATTTTACATTGAGAATTTCACATTTTAGACGAATTAAAAGTCCGTGTTTTGAATCGTTACCATAGCAACTAAACAAATTTCTGGATGTTTTTTCCTCCTCCTTTGGAAAAGGAACATGAAATTACAATGGATATTATTTGACGTTTATAAGTAGAATGACATTTGAATTGAACTTCAGATTACTTTGAATTCATTCTATTAGTTGATAAGTTCTTTGTAAGAAAATATATTTCTACCAACTTTCTAAATGACTTTGTAAAAAACTGATAGATTGGGCTACTATCGACTTATTCTTCATTATTTCAAGTCGTTTAATTATATCTTATTCAATCTAATAATATCACTAGAGCGAATTTCATTGACACTAAATAGTACCTACTTAGAGTTTCTTGTGAAAAAATATATTTCTACCAACTTGAGAAATTGATTTGAGAAAAAATGAGAAATTGAGCTGCCATCGACCTATTTTTTAGTTCCTCTAATTAATGTAAGTTAATTGTGTTTGATTCAGCCCAGCAATGTTATGGATAGGAATTATCAGCCACCAGCTGCCTTATTTATATTTTACACAATTGAAGTCGGTATTTTGTATTTTATTCAGCATAATTCTATCCTAGTTTTTTTATCTTGGTGTGCATTTTCCTACCGAATACCACTCTAGCTTCAATTGAAATCCGGTTTTTTTTTCTAACCCGAATATTGGAGAAATCTCCCTCGTCTTTGACTATAGGGAAAATTTTCAAAATATTCGTGTTCTCGAAAAAAATTCAGTAATAATTGGACCTGAAAAAAGTAAAAAAACTCACTATTGTCTTGTCGTTCCTCGACGTAAAGCTTCAATGATCCCCTAACGGCGGGCAGCTCAACCTCCCGTCTCTGCCCGAAAGTACCCAGAGTGTTCGTTTCGTTTGTCATCTGCTTGATACGTTCCATCGTGTAGGGCACGTCTGAGATCACTAGGTGGCGCTCCAAAGTCGCAGTAGCCTTGAAAACAAGTCACTGTTAGGTACTGGTAGATTATGCTCACAATTCAATAAACGCGAACACTATCACAAAATATAAGATGGACATATGGGGCATGCTTGTTCGAAACTCGGCTATGCGATGAACACTAATGAACTAGCATTTGCACATATCTGTGATAGCCCACCAGCTACAGCTAGCTACATAAGCACATTCCACTGTTCAGTAGGGTATCTGAAAATGATGACGCCAACAGGTACGTCATCCAAATTCCCACAAAGTTTATGTTGCAAAGTCGCAGGGGCCTTAAAAACAAGTCACTGTTGGATACGTTAATCAAACTGCAACAAAGATCACTTAACAAAGTCGCAGTAGGGTTGAAAACAATTCATTGTTTGGTTTGTCTTGTTGAGAACTCTTCTAGGATTCCTTTGAAGCCCTGAAAGAATTGGGCTGTCAAAACAGACTGACTCTAGCATGGGTACCAGCACACACCGGGTAAGATCGAGGGCAACGAGCCCTAGTTGGAGTGAAAAAGCAAGAACTATCAAATATACAAATTTCAATAATGGTGCGAACCTGAAATAAAAGTAGGACTCAACAAACACATGAGTACGATAGTCCTTGCTGAAGAACTGTTGTGCAGGTTCTGTCAAGAAGATAAGGAGTAGACAACATTTTTTGCCACTGTGAGGGCTTGTCAAGTCTGAGATTCTGTACGTTTGGAGGGGATGGACCGAGAGCTCAAAGCTACACAGGGGATCTAAAAGCTAGCCTATGGAGCCTTTTAGAGAAGAAAATTTTGCCTTAGAAACAAGTCACTGTTAGGAACGTCATTCAAACCTCAACAAAGTTGACCTGGTACTTACGTGGTATGCGTACTCTTTCATGAAGATCTTCTTGATGGCAGAGGGCAATGCTACCTTGGCGTCGAACCAAGCCTTATCTCTCGGTACGAAATAGGTGAATTTTTTGTTGGTGTTGTTCAATTGGTTGTTGAAGCCCTGCAGAGTACCCAAGGTATAGGTAGCACTGAAAAACAAAAAGCCTTATATGATCCAGAACTGCCAAGTTTGGACGTTACAAAGAACCAAATCTCACAATTAACACATCCAACAGTCCAGTGTACACGTCTGGCAAAAGAAATCTTCTCATGAGGAAACCATCTATTAAAGTGAATACGCCTAGAGGTTCACAAGTATTTCATAGAGAGAAAAATAAAGCAACACAGGAGCTACACCCAAGTAGGAGTATTGGCAATGTCGCTTACGTCGCTTTCTCTCTTAGATACCCATCTTTCTTATCCAACAGTGCAGTTTACACGTCTGGCAAAAAAAATCTTCTCAGGGGGAAACCATCTATTGAAGTGAACACGCCTAGAGGTTCACGAGTATTTGATAAAAATAAAAATAAAATAGCAGCGTCGCTTACGTCGCTTTCTCAATTCAATACCGATGAATCTTTATGCATATTCACTTCAATAGATGGTTTTTCAATGAGAAGATTTCTTTTGCCAGGCGAGTATACGCGGTCTAAGGATGATAGTTTCGGCCGGAGCCACAGATGGCGGATATAATGACAGGAGTGACAGGACCTTTATGCGAATACTCACGCTAGCATGGGATCGGTCCTCAATTTGTCCAAGACAGTACTGTAGGGTACTCCTAGCACCCTGTCTATCACGTGAACTACCCCATTGGTGGCTGCTAGGTCGGCCTGAATGACTGTGGCATTCACACCACCACCCTCAACTGTCATGGTGCGGTTGGGTCCGGATGTGAGTACGTTGAAGTACAGGTTCTTACCTTTGCTGAGAGTCTGGGCTTGATACACCTGCAAAAATATCAAATATCTATCAGCCATAGTATATTCGGCGGATTTTCTAAAAAGTATGACAGCTGGAATTCTAGAATGGGCTATTCAACTCTTTATTCACAATTTCAACTATGGATGAGGGCGCTGCGAGACGTAAACAACAATGGAGGATTGTGAGTAATGTTTCTTGTTTTGTACAGTGAATCGGTGTGGTTCATTCGTTTTTGAGCTTTGTGAGATAATAATATGAATAACACGCACCCAAAACAACGACGATTACCTACTGATTAAATCATATGATGCATCTATTACCGCTTACTCACTAGGTAGGTTCACAATTTCACCACCAGGTGGCTTCTAGACTTTTGGATTTGCCAATATAGTAAGGTTGCGAGGGTTTTGGAACGAATTAATTTACAGTATTTTATAAAACGACACAACTCTTGTTTTTGGCTGCTTTTCTGATGTAGCATGAAAAGTATACCACATAACGCAGACGTAGAAACTTTTTCCACGTCTTTTGTAATATGCGATTTGCAATTCTCGTTATACACTAAGTATACTATTTCACGGGAATTTCCAGCTGATGGCGCAACGCAACAAGTCCATAATATATGTGTGTATGTCCTGTACATTTGTAAAATCGAATTGCGTTGGCGTCCATCCAAGTTGGTGGATAAAGTCCTAAAATTGAGTTATTTCTGTCCTCCAATGTGGCAATAATGTGATTTATATCACACCATCATAATCTGATCATTTTGTGCCACTGTTCATCCCTTATGATTCGATTAAGTATGTATGCCTATATAAAGACAGTGGGGTTATAAAAGGCCTCTAGGTTTAATGGAAAAAGAACCTGTTTTACCCATGCGATGTATTACAATTATGAAATTTCAACCAAATAGTCTCCTAATAGTATTATACACGGTAATTCAAATTAAGAGCCCACTATTGATGGTAAAACCTTGTTATTATTGATGGTACGAAATAGCTTAAAGTAGCAAATTCTCAGTATCTTTGACTGGAATAAGAATGTTCATCAAGAACTTGAAGATCAAACAGAAATGAAATATAAAAGACAAATGTTCCCATGTAAAAATACAATATTTTTCGTAAAAACTCGAAAATGAGATCCTCCTTTATTTTCATACTATCTTGAATAACATTAAAAATACATCAATTTGCTAATTTAAGCAATTTAGTATATTCTATAGTACCTATAATGATAAAGTTGCCAATTGTTGACACTTTATTCAGATAACCCTGTGTAGGGAATATTCCCTCCATGAAAATTGATTCGGAAATAATGTTTTTTTCAAGATACAATGTGTTGAAGTGTTGTTCACCACTTACTTTATTTCGATGAATATATAAATAAGTATGTTCGTTTTCAGTTTTCTATAAAACGAACTGTGGAAATGAGTTTTCCACATTATATCAATGAAAGTCCAATTGAACACCCTTTATTTAAAAAACGAAATGTTATAGCACAGGAACTTCTTTCTTATTTCCAGGGAAGAATCTGCCCTAAAAGGTTTTCTCTCTACAATTCAGGAGTACCCTGTATACTATATTTTTTTGTACTCGCGGAAAACTAATCACTAAAATTAGAGAATCCGAATCAGTTGGTTCTGCAGTCTCTGTTTTTGAGAGACAAGGACACAATTTTATCCCAGAAAGACAGAAGACAGAAAGTATATCACCGATAAAGTTCGAAAATTGTTCACTTACTCTTGTCTGGCTATTCTTCAATATTTTATCAACGTACAATCTATCATCGACAACTAAATGCAATTTCAGGATATCCATGAACCTCGCCTTGTCCCGCAAGATGGCGTTCAGCGTCAGATCGTCTTCTAGAGCTTTGTTGCACGGCGCGAACAGCGTGACGTCATGCGAGCGTTCCAAAGTACGCAGGAATTCTTCTCCTTGCGGTCCAGCATCCTGGATGGCGTTGAAAAAGTTGCTCAAGATTCTGCCGTCCTGTTCCTGCAAAAACTGCAGGTTGGCTTAAAAGGTCAATGAAAGGCATTAGATCTAGTATTTTGGATTTTTCGGGTGATGCCGTAGCTCAGAGTAGTAGAATACTAGATGTAGTGCCTAAAAATGGTTTTTATTGTAAAATGGTGAACTGAAATTCAAGTATACTCGGTGGAAATAGTGCCAAAACTTATGAAACATGCATTCATTGCAAATAAGAACGTTCTTTTGAGCTTTACAAGGTATAATAATTATGAGGTTTTGCTATCGTTAGCAGAAATCAAAATTGCTTGCCAAACAATATGATGAGAGAATAAGCTACATTTCAATCATTTCCTCCCATACTGTTGCTATATGATGTTCGGAAATTATTTGAAAACGATTTATTGATGCCTAGCCCAGTTTCTCTATGCTTCTTGATCGAGGTTACTGGCTAAATGCCTAGCTCTGATTACAATAAAACGAAGAAGAAGAACGGTCAAGATCCCGAATCGCGGGTGCTTTGAGATTCTTTTTCTTTCACCTCTGCGAAAACAAAATCGAATCGTTCTTGCCATTGCGACTTCATTTTAGTTTTGTTTGTGCAATTTGGGTTTGTAATCAAAATCTCGAATCAATTCATAGTACCAATAATAATTAGACAACCAGAAATTGTCCCATTTATTTTGGAATAGGTACTTGGTGTGTTGGAAATAGTGAAGGAAAAGGAAAATCAAGCTTGCAATATACAGGGGCGTCATTTCAGTGATTACCAGGAGGGGTCAAGAAACTTGGACAAAATATTTGCATCACGAAAAATGCGCCACAGGTGAAATTTTTTTGGTGTTCTAGATAAAATGCTTTCAAATTGAGAATTAGATTTTTTCCCGAGTGATTATAACCCCATTGCAGTGTATACCTGGAAGGGGGTCGAGAAACTCAAGCATTTTGGTGAGATTCAGGGTAAAATGCCTAGAAATTGAAAATTAGATTTCTTACTGAGTGACAACTCGATGAATTATTATATTATAAATTATTCAGTTGAATGTTTGCAGTTTGTTGTAGGAAATTGATATAAAATGATTTGAAAATTGGAATATAGGAAGAACAAGTTAAAGTATTTTGAATACTGTGTGTATATAGGTTACCCTAGCAGGTGGATATTCTCAATTTTTTTCGAGATTTTTTTTTCTCATAGTTTCTTCAAATAATAATATCTCAAGGATCAGATGTTGAAGATTAGGTCTACTATTGATGGTTGAGTGGCGTTAACAATTTGTATCAAGCAAATGATACTGACTCATTTTTTCAGTTCAGCAAAATAATTATTCAAAAATTCCATGATTCAATTCAACTTTCTAATCTTATCCCAATCAACAACTATTACTCATAACAGCAAATAAGTTACCTACTCATCAGTATATTGTAATTTTTACATTTTACGAAAATTTGTTATTAGCTTTCTTATTCAGGTATATACAGGGTGTTAGTGAATAAGTGCGACAAACTTCAAGAGTTGAGAAGATATTTGAGTAATGAATGAAAAAACATTTTTTCACGGAAATATTGATACTCTACTCTGTATCTCGAAAACGAAGCAAGTTAGGACACATGATTATAATAATTTTATTTCCTAAAATATTAGGAAGAATCACCCCCTGAAGTTTGTCGCACTTATTCACTAACACCCTGTATATTTTATGTGAATGATGTTTGAAATAATATATAATTTCTTCAATTTTGAGTACTGATGATGAAATACTGATGTATATATCGTTATGTGATTACAGGAAGAATGGTAGAATCCCTTTTCTGTAGAGAATCAAGGGGGGCAATGGCCCCCGTTCTGCCCCCCTAAATGACGCCCATGCCAATATAGTTTTCAAGCAGGTGAGTTCTCCAGAAGATTCAAAATCTTCCTAAGGTGTGGCATTTCAATAATGTTTTTTACCATCAATAAGTAATTGATTCATGATCGAAAGTTTCCAAAATAAAAACATAGGTAGAAGCAGGTTGGGTACATATTTTCGTTCAAAACCTAATAACATTTCATAAACTAACTGGATTCTGGAGTAATAAGTAGGTAGGTACTGAATTGGAAGAATATAATTTATAAAAACCCATAAAACTTTCAGCAGTGTTTATTCGGGTATTAAACGCCTCCATATTTCACTAGCCTCTGCTAGATGGGAACTCTCTTTCAGGCGAAATTTTTTTTGTATCCAGCAGAATTAGTTTTTAATGAATGAAAATGGTCTCTTGCCTTACCCTGCTGTATTTTTTAATTCTTGGAGCCTTCCCAGGCATTATTTATGCATACTTTAATCCCCCATGCTGCTATATTAGTCGGGAAGTGGTGCAGAGGCAGTAATATGAAATTTTCAAATGTGTTGGTACACAGAATCCAAACGAGATTGCTAAGTGTTCTACAAAAATAAAGTGGAGGATGACAAATCTATAGAACCTACCTAGTTGTTCAGGAAATAAATAAAAATAATGTTCTGAATTGGTTTAACATTCCTACAAACTTTGTCCAATATTTTGAGGATTTTTTAAATGTCTAAATGATGATTTGGGACTGATGAAAGGTAGCTTTAAATTCATATCATTTCGTTGTTTGGCAACCAGATAGGTGAATATGGAATGAAAAATATAAGAAACGTAACATGCAAGAGATAACAGGGATTTTTATAATGGCATAATGTAGTTTCACTATTTGAACAGCTAGGTAAAAATAATGGATAACATCAAATTACCTTGTATTGCTGCAGTTTCCAAGAGATCAGCAGAAAAGCAATATGGATTATTCAGAAAAATGATTGCGATGGTATTATATAAGACATAGAAATAATGAATGTGTTTTATGTTGTCGGGTTATATAGGAAATTTGAGGCAAGTATGACATTCTGGTATTCACTATAGTGCGTGTTTTTTTTGCACTATTCATTGATATGATTCTCTTTTTTTTTCTCTCTTATGAAAGTAACATGAATTATCTTGATTCTGTTACCTGTTTGACTGAAACTATATGTTACTATGTATACTATGAATATTTCACACGAATTCTGAGAAGCCACACATTTTCAAATGTTGGAAATCATTGAGGTTTCTGGTAGAACACACATTTTTCTCTAGAATGGAAGAGATTCCTTATTTCATTCTAAAAATAAAGGACATCACTCTAGATGTTATAACTCGAGAAAAATTTATGTTATGAATTTGAATGTCTACCAGAAACCTCAATGATTTCCTACATTTGTGTTGACAATGATGCCGCATCTCAAAATTTGTCTGAAATATTCATAAATGAATGGTAGGTATGTTACGAAATCGGTTATTGCCAATCAAAATTCTTCAATGGAGTGTCGCAATTAACCTAATTGAAAGATGCTGAATCCAGTAGTAGATTCGAATTTTCTTGAGGAAAGTCGATAATTAATTATATTTCAACATTTACTCAGTATGCCCTGAAAATTGGAATTGCATTTTATAAATTTATGTGAACGTAGATCTTTTGATAGGCTTTCTGCTGAAATAAAAAAACGGAATCTGTTGAAAAATGAAGATTTAATAAGGTTGCTCAGGTTTTAAAGGGTCACACTGTATATGTATAATATGAATTCGAACATGTTGTTAAAGTCTGCTGCTGAATATGAAGCAACATATTTTGAGACGCTTATTCAGAGAATTATTCCTAATTTTCGATAAATCCAAAGCACCTGAGTTTGACGTTCCTTGTTTCTTCGCTCGCATTTCCATGGAAACTTCCAATCCATCCGGTGTATGAAATTTTACTCACTATCGGGTTACCACGATGCGGAAAATGCGGTGAAAATTAATGGAAATTTATTAAACCGATACCGTTCAGTACGAGAAGGGAGCGAAACTCTAAACATAAGTCAAACTCCATCGGAACTTTTAAAATCAATTTGTTTGTTTTTTGAGGCCTGAAGTTTTCAACTTGAATAGATTAGATGAAGCTTTAATGTATTATTTTCCAGTAGGATGGACGAGACTTGCCAATCATTTGGTATTCATACGTATTTTTTCACTATGGTGCATTCAGTTTTGAATTATGATATAGACTCGCGTCATAAAAGACATTTTCTTGGTAAACACACCTCCAAAACTGAATCATAAACGGCGTTAAAAAAATCAATTACTTGATGTCTAAGAAATTACATAAGTGATCCTTTTCAAATTTGGCAAACTGTTTTTTTATGTAACGTTCAGAGAGCACAAGTCAAAAGAGTTGTAATAGTAGCGAATATCAATGAAAAGTATTTCTGACTCCGGTTGGAGTCCGGTTTATCCTTCAAAAATATACAGTGGCGTGCTACTTATTAGTACATATGGAATAATAAACTTCAAAGTTGAACCCCTGCATTGCATAAAAATAATCATAGATGAAGTATACCTATAAAAGATGGTACCTACTCATGTCTCATTTTTTTTCTATCGTCTTATTTGTTTGACATTGTTCTTTCTCACAAGATTACCAGAATGTCATACTAGTTACAATGACAGCTCCATATCGTTGAACAAAAAGCGGTTATGTATAATGTTTCTAGCACAGGACAGAGCACAGCAAGATAGATACAATATAGCGCAACTATTTATAGCGATATTTTATATTATGAATTTTGGCACATGAAAGCGTTGTTTATTCAAGAAATACTCCTATACACCGGTAGTGAAAAATAATTAGGTATCAATGAATATTTTTTAATTGGAAATTTGAAGTGATGATCCAGGAAAAATAGGAGTTGATGACAGCAATGTAGCAATAACGTACTTTTAACGTTCATCCGTTTATTCAGAAGAATATGTAAGATAACTCGTGATGCAATTATAAAAAACGGATTTTTTATTTGAAGCAATTTCCATGCAATTAGGTACTGTAAGCAGACGGAGAGCGACTGTTGAGTCCCAGTGGACCGAGACAGTACTGTCTCGTTCTTACTGGCAACTCGAGTATCTATATCCATCCAAAATCTCTGAGTTATGAGATCTTATACTTTGAATAAATATTATTCAATTCTGGTACTTTCCATTTTCTCGTCGAATTTCTATGAAAAGAGTATTTTGTAAAGATTGCGTTCAAACAATTGTCGATTTATTTCAGCCCAACACTAAGATAGAGTCCACCTCATCAGTGATTTTTCACATGGAGCCTTCATGGAACTATGAGAACCCGAAAAAGTGAGTACTTTTGCAAAATGATGACATTTCGTTTGTTTAATCGGAAGCTGTTGCTGTTCATTTATCAAAGGTCTGCTTTCACCGCAGATCTTAATGGATCGGCTAATGCAAATGAGCAGAATTAGCGTAAATCTACACGAACATCAAACGTAATCTTGTCGCTTAATAATTAGTAAAGCAAGCTTTCATATTTACCGCCAGCAGATGCCTACGTTATCGTCATTTACAAGGTATGCCATTTTGTCCCTATCGATTTTAACTAATTTTGAAATTTCGGAAAATAATCTGTCGTCACTGTTTTTTCGATTTCCTCAAAAAGTGTGCTGCATGATATATTCATAAAAGTGGATTTCTTGATCTTTTTTAGATAATTATTCTGTTCGCTGTTATCATAATATCGGAAAACGAAGAAAAACACCAGTGGAATCAAAAATCAACGTGAACTTCTACCGTAATTTGAAATATCAGAGATATTAGCAGATTCAATCTGTGATTTCAGATAGTAGTAAAACGTACTCTATAAAATTTTCAAATAATATATTTTTAATATTATGAAAAGCTGAAGTTGAGTTTTTTAATATCGAGTTTTTAATCATTTTGAGAAATGCAATGCTGCCGTGACAAAATGGCATACCATGCACGATTCTGGACCGCAGCAATGTACAATATACAGGGTGGCAAAAAGGTTTCCTGTTCAAAGCCTATAGCTCCGAATTACATTGAGATATCCATAGAAATTTCGAAATGATGTTAATGAAAAGATTGTAGATCTTTCACCAGAAGATTTCATGGAGATAAGATATTATTGTTCTTTCTATGTTTGTGTATAGGGTAACTCACTAATTATAGGATATACAAAAAAACGAAAGTGACATTCTCCATCTCATCTTTTGAGGCAATTTCACTGGCGGGAACACAAATTTTCTATTGTCGTTTGTTTCCGAGTTTGATAAACAAAAAATCGATTTTTCTTCAACTCGAAAACGAAAGACGATTGCAAATTTTCTGATTCTGTCAGTGAAAGTATTTCTGGAAAATGATCCAGCATGTCACTTTTACTTTTTTGTACATTCTATACATATTCCCCGCGTTACAGTATATGAAGCATCGACAGTTTTCCACCCTGTACCGTATAGCTGCAGACTTTCGAACAGATGGTTTGTTTTTTATCGGCCACCTGGTACAACAACAAATTTAGCTCGCCATACACGTAAACTAGCTGATATCAAAATTATGATCATTCAATTGCTTTTGCTATATACTTATTGCATCGTGACCTACAGTTTGGACTGGCTCAATGTAAACGGGATATTCGAATAGTTCCGGTTCCTTATAGTTCTCCTGGTTGGCTACATTGCCGACGTTGCAAATGTAGTCCAGGTGATCCTGTATTTCGGAAAACAAGAAAGTCGTGAAACGATCGGAAAATCCCAAAATTGCGATGGAATAGATCAGGATAATGTTGATATGATGCATTGAAAGAAGGCATCTTTTTTATGAATTTTCATCCCGTCCATCGCAATTCAAATCCACCGATGATAGAATAGAATGTATAGGATAGGATAAACACCACATTTTTCTTGAGATTTGTGCTAAATGAATGTATGATCTAACTTTATCGGAGATGATGAGACTGTCCTAAAAACTGCAACAACAAATTTTCATCGACAAATTTTCGACTAGTTTCTGTTTTCAGTGTATTTGGTTTCTTAACATTTCATGTTTCTGGAGCTTTCGTTGATTGAGTCAGTATTTTTCAGTATTTCTGTCAACAACCTCAGAAGCTCTAGTTCAAGCTCAAGTTCTCCTTGGAGAGCTGATTTCATCAATGCATCACACTTTCGGGTTCTAGCAGGAATGATTACAGACATATTCCGATTAAATGTCAGTATATAGGGAATCATAAGTTAAGATTGGGACATCAGTGAATTATTCTCGATTTTGAACACTCTAGTAATCATTCCCGCTAGTGTGAAGATTAAACCAGATATTAAAAAAAAACCTCAAAATGCAATGAAATACAGGGTGTTACATTGGAGGACATTCATGGTGAATCCCCCAGTACATACAGTAAATTTACATGTTGAGGTTTTTGGAATATTTAAAAATTCAGTAAAAAAACATACAACGCCTGATGTCTCAGTTCCTGAAGGTTCAAGGATGTATGTTAGTCTGAAAATTTCGTACAAAACTGAATCATTTCATACTGACATCATCAACTTCAACTCAGAAGTTTTGCAAAAAATGGTTCTATGCTAGTTTTGAAAGTGTCTTATAGTAAATAAGTGTAAGAAAATGTGAAGTTATAGGTAGTGTGTGGTGAATTTAAAAATGAATATGTATTTCTACCATTAAACCTCACCTCTAATAATTTCTTGACATTACTGTCTACTACCATTAGTGGCTTCTGGATGAGATGGATCACTCCATTTTTCACTGGGATGTTTGCCTGGCGAATTTCCGCCAAAACTACGCCCTGCGCATGTTTTCCATCACCGAATTTCGTGTGACTCTTGACGTAATCTAGAAGAAAAAACCACGAATTAGTGATACACATAGAACATTTGTTTCTCATAAAATTGGCTCACTAAACATGAACTTTTTTGTGGACAATTTAATCCATGTATAGAAAATCCAATAAACCGCTGTGATTTTGCCATTATGAGAACGAAAAAAGTTTGCCCTAACTTTTCCAACGGCAAAACGGAACCTAATATTCGAAGGCATGACAACCAAAATTATACACTAATCTTTGATGGCGTTTATGTAAATTTTTCTCAAACTTGCGTTGTCAGGAAAGTATCTAATCTGTGAAAATTTCGCGATTTGGAAAGCCTTCGAGTGGAGATATTGAGAAAACCAAACAATAATGTGATTTACGTATTCATTAAATTGTCATTCCGAATACCATTCCTGCAATTTTTCCTTGTGTCGAAGTATACGTGACATTTTCAATTGGAGTTTTGATTCCTTTAGGTAATTCTACTCGAGAAACTTCCAGAAATATTACTCGTCCTACAAATTCTTGTTCTTCACGAAAGCAATTTTTTTTCGTTTAATTTCCGGGCAACGCTAGTGTGTTTTACGTATTCATTAAATTGTCTTAGCTGCCAGAACATTTTTTTTTCGTTCAATTTCTTACAACAATATTCTCATCAAAATGTCAAGTTGATCTCGAGAAAAAAGCCCTCGCAGGACATTTTCCTCTTCAAATGACATTAAGTGTCTTTTTCATGACACTTAACAGGCAGAAAAGGTGTACTTTTACTGCCTAGGCAGACAAAGTTTATTGCTATGCAACGTTCCAAGTAATAATTCGAATCAAATCAGTAATTCAAATTGACAATGACTTGGGTCGAAATCAGACGAATTCGGAGTAAAAATTATATATTTCACAAGGCAGTAAAGCAGATTTAATGCCTTGGCTGAATTCCTAGCCTCGGCATTAAATCTTGTGCTTTCTTGCCTAGTGAAACAAATAATTATCTTCTCCAAGCGGCATAGAAAGTGACACTCAACGGGCAGGAAAGGTTTACTTTCTCTGCCTAGGAGAAAAAATTATATGCTTCACACGGCAGCATATTTAGATTGACTGCATTGGCTGAATTCCTCAGCCAATGCAGTCAATCTACCACTTTGCTGCTTAGTGAAATAAATAACTATTTCTCACACAAGTGTTAATGCTGGAGCTAGATTACGCAATTCATTTCATCAAACTTTTAGTTGAAATTTGTTCGTGACATGACGTAGCCCATAAGTACTAGATATACTCAACATGCACAGTCGGCTTTTATCCTTTTGATGTTGCATTATCCTTCATGAAACCCGAATGATTCTACTCCCAACTTTGAATAAAATCCACACTCAGAGACAACGCCGGCTATAAAAACAAAACTGAATTTTAAAGTTGGGAGTTACTTTGAAAAAACGTTGCGATCACTCTCGAGTTTTCGACGTAATACAGTACAAAAGCTCGGATAGAAGTCCCGGAACAACGTGGATGACAAATGAAGCTCAACACGTTTTTCAGAAGGAAACGTACAAACTGAATGAATCGTTTATGATTTTTTATCGGGAGTTTGGCGTGCGATCGCTATAAGAATCGAGAATAAAAAATGACGCACCCTCAGTCGAGTTTTGTTGACGCATTTGTTATTCAACAGAAGGAAAAGCTTTTGACCTTTTGGGTTCACCTTGCAATAGATTTTCTCTTTGAACAATGGATTGTGAGCCATACAGAAATAATTCGATGTCATATTTGATGGAGAAGTCTTCAGATCTTCAAAATCAGCGCTTCACTAAATACAGTAGACCAATACAGGTCGAAAAATTGTTGTTTCCTGATTGACCTAATTATCTCACCAAAATCAATGACACTTATTCAGACCCATGAAGAAAGAAATCGATGTCAGATTCGATAGAGAAATCTTATTTCAGATTTTCAAAATCAGCACTTCACTGATATAGTTCGAAAAATATGTTTTCCTGATTGTCCTAAAAATCCCAAAATATTCATAGACACTAATTCAGACCCATAAAGAAAGAATAAGATGTCAAATTCAATAGAGAACTCTCCCTTTAAATTTTCAAAATAAGCGGTTCAAGCAATGCAGTAAGCTCATATAGGTCGAAAAATATTTTTTTCCTGATTGTCCTATGAATCCCAAAATCATCATAGACACTAATTCACACCCATAAAGAAAGAATTTGAGGTCAGATTCGATAAAGAACTCTCCCTTTACATTTTCAAAATCAGCGCTTCAAGCAATGCAGTAAGCTTAGGTAGGTCGAAAAATATATTTTTCCTGATTGTCCTAAAACTCCCAAGATATTCATAGACACTAATTCAGGCCCATAAAAAAAGAATTTGAGGTCAGATTCGATAAAGAACTCTTCCTTCAGATTTTCAAAATCAGCGGTTCAAGCAATGCAGTAAGCTCATATAGGTCGAAAAATATTTTTTTCCTGATTGTCCTATGAATCCCAAAATCTTCATAGACACTAATTCACACCCATAAAGAAAGAATTTGAGGTCAGATTCGATAAAAAACTCTCCCTTCAGATTTTCAAAATCAGCGGTTCAAGCAATGCAGTAAGCTCATAATATAGGTCGAAAAATATTTTTTTCCTGATTGTCCTATGAATCCCAAAATCATCATAGACACTAATTCACACCCATAAAGAAAGAATTTGAGGTCAGATTCGATAAAGAACTCTCCCTTCAGATTTTCAAACTCAGCGGTTCAAGCAATGCAGTAAGCTCATAGGTCGAAAAATATGTTTTTTTCTGATTGTCCTATGAATCCCAAAATCATCATAGACACTAATTCACACCCATAAAGAAAGAATTTGAGGTCAGATTCGATAAAGAACTTCCCCTTCAGATTTTCAAAATCAGCGGTTCAAGCAATGCAGTGAGCTCATATAGGTCGAAAAATATTTTTTTCCTGATTGTCCTATGAATCTCAAAATCATCATAGACACTAATTCACACCCATAAAGAAAGAATTTGAGGTCAGATTCGATAAAGAACTCTCCCTTCAGATTTTCAAAATCAGCGGTTCAAGCAATGCAGTAAGCTCATATAGGTCAAAAAATATTTTTTTCCTGATTGTCCTATGAATCCCAAAATCATCATAGACACTAATTCACACCCATAAAGAAAGAATTTGAGGTCAGATTCGATAAAGAACCTTCAGATTTTCAAAATCAGCGGTTCAAGCAATGCAGTAAGCTCATATAGGTCAAAAAATATTTTTTTCCTGATTGTCCTATGAATCCCAAAATCATCATAGACACTAATTCACACCCATAAAGAAAGAATTTGAAGTCAGATTCGATAAAGAACTCTCCCTTCGGATTTTCAAAATCAGCGGTTCAAGCAATGCAGTAAGCTCATAGGTCGAAAAATATTTTTTTTTCTGATTGTCCTATGAATCCCAAAATCATCATAGACACTAATTCACACCCATAAAGAAAGAATTTGAGGTCAGATTCGATAAAGAACTCTCCCTTTACATTTTCAAAATCAGCGCTTCAAGCAATGCAGTAAGCTTAGGTAGGTCGAAAAATATATTTTTCCTGATTGTCCTAAAACTCCCAAGATATTCATAGACACTAATTCAGGCCCATAAAAAAAGAATTTGAGGTCAGATTCGATAAAGAACTCTTCCTTCAGATTTTCAAAATCAGCGGTTCAAGCAATGCAGTAAGCTCATATAGGTCGAAAAATATTTTTTTCCTGATTGTCCTATGAATCCCAAAATCTTCATAGACACTAATTCACACCCATAAAGAAAGAATTTGAGGTCAGATTCGATAAAAAACTCTCCCTTCAGATTTTCAAAATCAGCGGTTCAAGCAATGCAGTAAGCTCATAATATAGGTCGAAAAATATTTTTTTCCTGATTGTCCTATGAATCCCAAAATCATCATAGACACTAATTCACACCCATAAAGAAAGAATTTGAGGTCAGATTCGATAAAGAACTCTCCCTTCAGATTTTCAAACTCAGCGGTTCAAGCAATGCAGTAAGCTCATAGGTCGAAAAATATGTTTTTTTCTGATTGTCCTATGAATCCCAAAATCATCATAGACACTAATTCACACCCATAAAGAAAGAATTTGAGGTCAGATTCGATAAAGAACTTCCCCTTCAGATTTTCAAAATCAGCGGTTCAAGCAATGCAGTGAGCTCATATAGGTCGAAAAATATTTTTTTCCTGATTGTCCTATGAATCTCAAAATCATCATAGACACTAATTCACACCCATAAAGAAAGAATTTGAGGTCAGATTCGATAAAGAACTCTCCCTTCAGATTTTCAAAATCAGCGGTTCAAGCAATGCAGTAAGCTCATATAGGTCAAAAAATATTTTTTTCCTGATTGTCCTATGAATCCCAAAATCATCATAGACACTAATTCACACCCATAAAGAAAGAATTTGAGGTCAGATTCGATAAAGAACCTTCAGATTTTCAAAATCAGCGGTTCAAGCAATGCAGTAAGCTCATATAGGTCAAAAAATATTTTTTTCCTGATTGTCCTATGAATCCCAAAATCATCATAGACACTAATTCACACCCATAAAGAAAGAATTTGAAGTCAGATTCGATAAAGAACTCTCCCTTCGGATTTTCAAACTCAGCGGTTCAAGCAATGCAGTAAGCTCGTATAGGTCGAAAAAATATTTTTTCCTGATTGTCCTATGAATCCCAAAATCATCATAGACAATAATTCACACCCATAAAGAAATAATTTGAGGTCAGATTCGATAAAGAACTATCCCTTCAGATTTTCAAAATCAGCGGTTCAAGCAATGCAGTAAGCTCGTATAGGTCGAAAAAATTTTTTATCCTGATTGTCCTATGAATCCCAAAATCATCATAGACACTAATTCACACCCATAAAGAAAGAATTTGAGGTCAGATTCGATAAAGAACTATCCCTTCAGATTTTCAAAATCAGCGGTTCAAGCAATGCAGTAAGCTTATATAGGTCGAAAAATATTTTTTTCCTGATTGTCCTATGAATCCCAAAATCATCATAGACACTAATTCACACCCATAAAGAAAGAATTTGAGGTCAGATTCGATAAAGAACTCTCCCTTCAGATTTTCAAAATCAGCGGTTCAAGCAATGCAGTAAGCTCATATAGGTCGAAAAATATTTTTTTCCTGATTGTCCTATGAATCCCAAAATCATCATAGACACTAATTCACACCCATAAAGAAAGAATTTGAGGTCAGATTCGATAAAGAACTCTCCCTTCAGATTTTCAAAATCAGCGCTTCAAGCAATGCAGTAAGCTCATATAGATCGAAAAAATGTTTTTTCCTGATTGTCCTATGAATCCCAAAATCATCATAGACACTAATTCACACTTATAAAGAAAGAATTTGAGGTCAGATTCGATAAAGAACTATCCCTTCAGATTTTCAAAATCAGCGGTTCAAGCAATGCAGTAAGCTCATATAGGTCGAAAAAATTTTTTTTCCTGATTGTCCTATGAATCCCAAAATCATCATAGACACTAATTAACACCCATAAAGAAAGAATTTGTGATCAGATTCGATAAAGGGCTCTCTCTTCAGATTTTCAAAATCAGCGGTTCAAGCAATGCAGTAAGCTCATATAGGTCGAAAAAATTTTTTTTCCTGATTGTCCTATGAATCCCAAAATCATCATAGACACTAATTCACACCCATAAAGAAAGAATTTGAGGTCAGATTCGATAAAGAACTCTCCCTTCAGATTTTCAAAATCAGCGGTTCAAGCAATGCAGTAAGCTTATATAGGTCGAAAAATATTTTGTTCCTGATTGTCCTATGAATCCCAAAATCATCATAGACACTAATTCACCCCCATAAAGAAAGAATTTGAGGTCAGATTCGATAAAGAACTATCCCTTCAGATTTTCAAAATCAGCGGTTCAAGCAATGCAGTAATAAGCTCGTATAGGTCGAAAAAATATTTTTTCCTGATTGTCCTATGAATCCCAAAATCATCATAGACACTAATTCACACCCATAAAGAAAGAATTTGAGGTCAGATTCGATAAAGAACTCTCCCTTCAGATTTTCAAAATCAGCGGTTCAAGCAATGCAGTAAGCTCATATAGGTCGAAAAATATTTTTTTTCCTGATTGTCCTATGAATCCCAAAATCATCATAGACACTAATTCACAACCATAAAGAAAGAGTTTGAGGTCGGATTCGATAAAGAACTCGCTCTTCAGATTTTCAAAGTCAGCGGTTCAAGCAATGCAGTAAGCTCATAGGTCGAAAAATATTTTTTTTCCTGATTGTCCTATGAATCCCAAAATCATCATAGACACTAATTCACAACCATAAAGAAAGAGTTTGAGGTCGGATTCGATAAAGAACTCGCTCTTCAGATTTTCAAAGTCAGCGGTTCAAGCAATGCAGTAAGCTCATATAGGTCGAAAAATATTTTTTTCCTGATTGTCCTATGAATCCCAAAATCATCATATACACTAATTCACACCCATAAAGAAAGAATTTGAGGTCAGATTCGATAAAGAACTCTTCCTTCAGATTTTCAAAGTCAGCGGTTCAAGCAATGCAGTAAGCTCATATAGGTCGAAAAAAATTTTTTTCCTGATTGTCCTAAAACTCCCAAAATATTAATGGACACTAATTCAGACCCATAAAAAAAGAATTTGAGGTCAGATTCGATAAAGAACTATCCCTTCAGATTTTCAAAATCAGCGGTTCAAGCAATGCAGTAATAAGCTCGTATAGGTCGAAAAAATATTTTTTCCTGATTGTCCTATGAATCCCAAAATCATCATAGACACTAATTCACCCCCATAAAGAAAGAATTTGAGGTCAGATTCGATAAAGAACTCTCCCTTCAGATTTTCAAAATCAGCGGTTCATGCAATGCAGTAAGCTCATATAGGTCGAAAAATATTTTTTTCCTGATTGTCCTATGAATCCCAAAATCATCATATACACTAATTCACACCCATAAAGAAAGAATTTGAGGTCAAATTCGATAAAGAACTCTCCCTTCAGATTTTCAAAATCAGCGGTTCAAGCAATGCAGTAAGCTCATATAGGTCGGAACAAATTTTTTTCCTGATTGTCCTATGAATCCCAAAATCATCATAGACACTAATTCACACCCATAAAGAAAGAATTTGAGGTCAGATTCGATAAAGAACTATCCCTCCAGATTTTCAAAATCAGCGCTACAAGCAATGCAGTAAGCTCATATAGGTCGAAAAAAATTTTTTTCCTGATTGTCCTAAAACTCCCAAAATATTCATGGACACTAATTCAGACCCATAAAAAAAGAATTTGAGGTCAGATTCGATAAAGAACTATCCCTTCAGATTTTCAAAATCAGCGGTTCAAGCAATGCAGTAATAAGCTCGTATAGGTCGAAAAAATATTTTTTTCTCCTGATTGTCCTATGAATCCCAAAATCATCATAGACACTAATTCACACTCATAAAGAAAGAATTTGAGGTCAGATTCGATGAAGAACTCTCCCTTCAGATTTTCAAAATCAGCGGTTCAAGCAATGCAGTAAGCTCATATAGGTCGAAAAATATTTTTTTTCCTGATTGTCCTATGAATCCCAAAATCATCATAGACACTAATTCACACCCATAAAGAAAGAATTTGAGGTCGGATTCGATAAAGAACTCGCTCTTCAGATTTTCAAAGTCAGCGGTTCAAGCAATGCAGTAAGCTCATATAGGTCGAAAAATATTTTTTTCCTGATTGTCCTATGAATCCCAAAATCATCATATACACTAATTCACCCCCATAAAGAAAGAATTTGAGGTCAGATTCGATAAAGAACTCTTCCTTCAGATTTTCAAAATCAGCGGTTCAAGCAATGCAGTAAGCTCATATAGGTCGGTACAAATTTTTTTCCTGATTGTCCTATGAATCCCAAAATCATCATAGACACTAATTCACACCCATAAAGAAAGAATTTGAGGTCAGTTTGGATAAAGAACTATCCCTTCAGATTGTCAAAATCAGCGCTTCAAGCAATGCAGTAAGCTCATATAGGTCGAAAAAATTTTTTTTCCTGATTGTCCCTTAACTCCCAAAATATTCATGGACACTAATTCAGACCCATAAAAAAAGAATTTGAGGTCAGATTCGTTAAAGAACTATCCCTTCAGATTTTCAAAATCAGCGCTTCAAGCAATGCAGTAAGCTCATATAGGTCGAAACAAATTTTTTTCCTGATTGTCCTATGAATCCCAAACTCATCATAGACACCAATTCACACCCATAAAGAAAAAATTTGAGGTCAGATTCGATAAAGAACTATCCCTTCAGATTTTCAAAATCAGCGGTTCAAGCAATGCAGTAAGCTCATATAGGTCGAAAAATTTTTTTTTCCTGATTGTCCTATGAATCCCAAAATCATCATAGACACTAATTCACACACATAAAGAAAGAATTTGAGGTCGGATTCGATAAAGAACTCTCCTTTCAGATTCTCAAAATCAGCGGTTCGAGCAATGCAGTAAGGCTCATATAGGTGAAAAAATTTTTTTTTCCTGATTGCCCTAAAAATCCCAAAAAAATCATAGACACTAATTCACACCCATAATGAAAGAATTTGAGGTCAGATTCGATAAAGAACTCTTCCTTTAGATTTTCAAAATCAGCGGTTCAAGCAATGCAGTAGGCTCATATAGGTCGAAAAATATTTTTTTCCTGATTGTCCTAAAAATCCCAAAATATTCATAGACACTAATTCAGACCCATAAAGAAAGAATTTGAGGTCAGATTCGATAAAGAACTTCTCCTCTAGATTTTCAAAATCATCGGTTCAAGCAATGTAGTGAGCTCATATAGGTCAAAAAATATTTTTTTCCTTTCTGACCAATATCAGAAATATACAGAGTGGTACATATCTCAGTAAGAACATGGCGAATATATGATGAAAAAAAAAATGTTTTGAAACTTACTGACGACCGTGGTGCCCCTTTGCTCTTGAGTGAAAATGATGACCACCCTGATGTCGTTGTCGCTGTTCGCCAGCGTCTGGTAGCCGACGTCCTTTTTGGTGGGCGTCGTAAAGAGCACCTGTTTGGGGATCACGTGACCGTCGATTATCTTCTCGTCTATCAGAGCGGCTCGTTCGTTCTGAAACAAATGAGCATCACTTCACGCGAAAATCATCCATCCCGTGTTGGGCGTATTTCGGAAATTTTCAGAAATTTTTCTCACTTCCTCAACTATCGAAATATTTGATGACAGCCGATTTTTATAGGTACCGATAATCTTTAACTGATTAGTTAAAGTTAGTGTAAAACTGGAAGGCGGCAAAACTAGTTAATATGTCAAAAATGTTGAAATTAAACTATAATTCACAACTTCCAAATTTCGTTTTACAACATTGAATAGATAATAAAAACGATATAGAGGTGAACCACCTTGGAAAATCACCCGGGATAGTCGTCGTCGTAGTATATCCATCAGAAAAAAACGAGATTTCATTCATTACCTGATTACTGATTGAATTCGAACCTAGTGTTATAAAACAATGCTATTTTACTACGGCTATAACACAAAATTGCTCTTGTTTTACTTTGTTCGATACATCAATGAGGTACTTTGTATGTCATCAATTTTATTTCCGTATCTGATATCACAATGAATCCATTGTGTTATTATTTCAAAAAAATCTCATCGCTCATGGAATGTCAAATTGCAAGCAATGACAGCTCTGTCTAATAAATGAGCATAACTTGACAGGAACTCAGATGGCTTGAGGCCGAAGAAATCGAAAATGCTGCTGTTATTACAGCCGTAGAAAAATTATAGTGAATAACTTGCACAGAATCATTGTGCTAATTTCATACTCGAAACTTTATTCTCGTGGGAAATCACCATCATCGTGCTCGTTAAAAAACATACTATATCTTATTTTCTTGTCATTGAGTAATAATAGGTAATTCGAACTATTTTGTGAATGTCTCCTCGCTGTGATCTGGTCAAAAATGTTCGAAAGCAGTTGAATGAAACAAGATTTACCTTTCCAATCTCAAATGTCAAATACTAACAATGTTCAATCACAAAGATATATCCAGAATACGCACATGATATCTGGGGATTTCTGAATAGTATGTGGCATTTTGGGAATATTTTTGTATTTGATTAGTAAACCACAGTCTCCAAAAACTTCACTTATATTCTATAACTCCTCGATTAACCTACAGATATTATTTAATTATATCGTTATTAGCTTCGCAAAAGGATTTCAAGATTTAATTGAAAAATGTATGAAGATCGCAGAGAGTTAATCTGTAGTTATTGGATAGTAGACTGGAGGTAGACTGTTTCTAATAAAGGTTGCGGACTCAATATTGCATGAAAACAGTGAAGTTCACAAATTTAGCTTGAACAACATGCCTCGTAACTGTATTTTGCGGATATTAAGAAACAACAGTTGGCGCCACTTGCCAATATATTTCCCCCAATATTGTCGCTATAATATGTCGAGCAACACTCGATATATAATACTCACTCCAAAACCTTCATCGATTGGTATGAAGAAAGTGTGACCTCCTTCCACCTTGTAAATGTCCTCTTTGTTGTTTTGCTGCACTTTCTGGCGGAAATTCCTGCGATCAAAAATACAATGATATTCGTATGTAAAAGAGAGAAGGAATTCTCGATGAATATCAATAAAACGAGTTGAATTTGCTATAGATATTTTTAACGGCGTATTTTCATTTGTAACGATTTGCAGTTTACACGTTATGCAACTAACTATACACAAAAAACTCAGAATTGCCATAATGGCGTGTCAAGTCTTTATTGGAAATTATGTCATGATGAGGTTGATGAAAAGTGTTTCTTTGAAATGCCGTTTATACAAAATTGGTCTGAAATTGCCTGCTGCTGGTAAGTTATTTTGCGAATGAATTCATAATGTACACGATCATCAACACAAGCGAGCCTTCATCTGCCTATGCTGAGTTGTATCAATATTTTCAAGATGCTATAGAAACAATTAAATTAGAAATTTTATTTTCTTTGCCATGGACATAGTCGAGATGAGAAGTACCAAAAGCGAATTTTATAAACTGATTTACTGACCTCACTCTAAATGGGTTCTTGCTGGGCATCAGATTTTCGTAGTTTTCCAGGAATTCCCAAGCGGTGGGATTGTAAATGCGGTTAGAAGCCGAAACTGGAGATCTAGTAGGCACCAAGACGTCATCAATTTTGTGGAGGACCTGGAACAAAAATAATTATGACACACTAACATTAGGGATCTCAAATCATTGAGGAAGTTCAGTTTTTCGTCAACGCACTATCAGACGCATTCTGTTCGGTCTCAAAAAAAAAAATTCTCAAAAAATGTGCACTAGAATTGACACCGATTCTCTGCAAGCTATTTACCATCTCCTACAAGTCGGGTATTTTTCCATCTTACTGGAACTGGTTCTTGAAAATTGGAATAAGTTCTTATTTTCATTGCTTTGTTGTCCACCGCCCCAAAATTAACAACAAAAACGATTTTTTTATACACGATACAATAAATAAACTTGAATTTGTTGTCCAGTAATAATTCCATATCAACTGAGAGTGCCATCGTCAATGCGGATCAGTGTTTTTTCCTATTTATTTGGCAGCAGGTTTTCAACGATAGAGATGCTTTTATTCCAACACGATAGATAATAATAATCTGACGTTTAACTCTGTCTCTTTGTTCAAGTTTTCCAATGCGATTTTCATCTTCCTCTATCCCTAAATTTGTCTCGAGCAATTTTTCTCTTTGTATGGCATATCGATCCGTTTTTTTGAGGCTTACATGCAAAAGGTTTTTCCGTATTGAATGTCTCGGTTCGTATTCTGTTATTTTCCAATTATTCTCTATTCCGTTCTTTCCCTGTCACGAAACGGGGTCATGCAATATTTCACTATCACACTCATTTTTTCTACAGGGTGTTTCGAAATCCGACCGACAACGCTTGAAATGTGATAGCCCTCGTAATTTCATATAGTTACTGAGATAGGGACATGCGGTCTTCAAGTGTTCAGTTCTCGAGATACAGGGTGGTAAAGTTGAGTAATACATTTTCTACACTACTCAGGAAATTTCGAGTATTCTCAATTTTTCGAATTCATTCTTCAATTTTGTTCAAAATAAGCATCACCTTCAACTGATCTGAAATGAACAGTTCAGAAGATATTCGACTCAAAATAAAAGTTTGCATAGTAATTTTTCTTCATTTTCAGTATATAGTAGAAAATCATTCGAAAAATATTCTTATAATTTTAGTATAGTTTGACAGTGAGCCATGAGGAGTTCCAGTTGATGCATATCGTAGAATTTCATGCACCGTATGATTCCAATCAGCTTTCCCATTATCGTTTCACTTCTTCAACGCATTCCCAGAGATTCAATCGGATTTTTCTTCGACGAAAAATCGATAACTCATTAGCCGCAAATTATCCATTGATAATTCAGCAGATGAAATGTGCCCTTCGGCGAATTTCATCGAATGAATCGATCGATATTGCTTTAATTATTACATCGAGTTGATAATTGTATTTGTTCAATAAAGTCAGCCTGTTAATCGAGGTCGTGAGATATTCGTGTTTCCACTTCTCGTTGATTTGTTTTTGAAAAATTGTATACATCAATCGAAACATTCTGTATGATTCCTAATGATTTGAAAACTATTTCATCAAGCGTCAGCTTTTTGCCCTCAGACAAAAACACTGTTAACGGAGCGATCTGAAACTTAGAAAATTATTACATTTCTAGATATCACTCTGTACTCTGTAGGTGATAGTTTTGAAATCAGCTATCAGAATCTCAGAGTACCGTTTTTGCGAAGTGTTTTTTGAAGTTTTTTTCAATGACACCCCGTATATGTTTATACATAATTTTTGAACTCGTCATTTTGTTATATAGGCTTCATAAATTCGTTTAGTTTTTGCAATTCGCTCCAACCTATCAGAAGTTATAGATTTTTTTCTAAAAATTAATGCGTTTGTAGGCACTTCTTTGAAAAATCGTCAGCCACTTGGTTTGTTCCATCTTGTGTAACATTCGTTCAAGAATGAGATGGTCTACCTACTCTGCCCATGAAGTTCCTGTTTTCAGATCTACAGGGGGAAACATTGACCCATTACAAAAATGAATATTTTCAAAGTTATCCCAATCATATGGAAACATTTTCGGTTTTTTGTCTTGGGCATATAATGAATGCTTGATGTAGATTTTTTCGCTAGCATCTTCGTTTATGGAAAATTGACGTTTTTTTGAAATGTCCTCAATTTCAGATGATCTGTTTATGAAATAAGAGAGTTTCTTCATGAAATCGATTCAGGGAGGAATTCATCACTTCAACTTCATCGAATTGAGCGAATATCGATCAACAGGATAATTCGAGCTACCGAAGAAACGTGAAATCCAGTCATGCCTATTGTGATTTGAACTTTGAATGCTCCGTATTCCTGTTATCATTCTTGATCTCCTGATGGCATGTTAACAGAATGTTTTCTCGAATATCGAAATCATTAATGATTTCATGAAGGGTGGGATAGAGAATGCCACGCCAATTTATGCAAATTTTAGTAAAAAGCATGCTATCAGAATGTCGTTCTTTCCTGCATGTAGGTGGAGGTCCTACTAAGTAATGAAATTCCCTGTATATCTGAGAACACGAACTTCATGGACAGAGTAGGTAGACCATCTCATTCTTGAACGATTATTAAACAACATGGAACAAACCGTTTCAGAATCGTGACTAGTGTTTTTTTCAATATTTGATTTCGAAATTAAGTGAAATATTCAGGTGGACTACTTCATTTGTCACACAGTTTATACATCTCGTTATCAGATGAAATTTTCAGAAAAACAAGTTATATTTAGACGTTTTCCATAGAAAATTGTGTGCAGTGGAGAGGACCTTTTCAGTATCTCCCCGTTTTCCGTCTTGACTCCGGTATTTATAACAAAGAATATCTTCCCCCGGAATATCCGTCTAAGGGCCAATAAAAATCCCTTCACTGGAACTATATTCAAATAGTGGCCGCCATTAGAGTACCGAGCAGTCACCGAAAAATCTATGTGGCGGAAAATCGAGAGGAAAGAAAAAATAAAACGCTGACTGAATGGCCGAGATCACGTGCAGTGGGGTAGAAAGGGGGTTGAAATACAAAGCGGGCGATATCACGTGTCCGATGAGGCGCGAACCAGAAAGTTATGAGTCTGGATTCCGGATGCCGAAGTTTTTTCTCTGGAACGGGCGATTCAATATCGGAGTTGCTCCTATATGAAGGAATTACGCACAGGGTGATTCACTTTCATAGGGAGAAGTCTTCCCGGATATAATTGTCCCATTTGCGTTGCTTCCGTATACAGGGTGTTGCGAAAATCACCGAGACTCGGGATGACTTCAATATTATATACAGGGTGTTCCAGAATAACGTTCGTATACTCCAGTAGCCTCGCCAGGAGTCGTTTCCAAGAATAGGGTCTTTTCTCATTTTGATGTCCAAAAAAATTCACCTAGTGAATAATGCGGATATTTTCTGAAGAGGTCAACATCACGATTAACTCTTACAGAAGGAAACTAACAGGAAATGTTAAGTCGTAATTATCAGGTCTTAATTATTTCATCACAAGAGCACACGCACAAATTGACACTTTTTTCGAAAACGATTTGTTGTACGGCATTCTAACAGAAATACATATCCATGTAGAAGTGTTTGATGAATCACTAGCAATATATGTCAAACATTATAGTACTGTGCAACTTGAATATGGACCTACTATCACTATGACAGCACTTCTTTTCAATTCTAATTAAAATCTAAACTGGGCGTCAATTGAAACGTTAATAGTGAAATTTGGCATCAAGTTTGACTTCTTGTAATTTCTAAAATATTGAACGAATTTTGAATTGCCGCCCAGATTTTGAATGCCTTTTTCATCGTCTTTCGAACCGTTCCTTACAGCTTCTTCTAAATTGATCAGGATCCATGATACAGGGTGAAACAAAGTTACGTGCATTTTGAAAAACATTTCTCCGCCCCCCCATTTTGTCGGAAGACCACGATGCTCATATTTTATTCAGGCATTTCATGAATAGGAACCATACCTCGGGACGTTTTCGAGTTTTTGCCAAAAACTACTGTGGTTTCCGAAAAAAAAAAATTTTTAGCATTTTTTTTCAATGGACTAATTACCTGTATCACCAAAACGATGAATCAGTCTCTTTATTGTCATGACTGACTTATTGAAAATGGTACTTAAATGAGTTTGGGTATAGACTAATCGTCGTAACCTGAAATAATAATTATCTGTACTGAATTATAGTTTATATCACTATAGTGATCTTACCTAATGATATTTTCCATTTCGACCCGATTTGAACGAGGCATCTTTAAATTTTTTAGGACCCGAATTACACTGACGTTTTCATGAAAATTGGCAATTGATATAACCTCTATGCATACCTACATTGTTTCAACAATACGCTGTTATAAAAACAAGGTATCCTTGTTTGTATTTGTTGATGAGATGTGTTGATTTACTGCTCACTAAGGCAGAAAACTTTCATCATAGACTGCGAAGTAATAAATTATTGATTGTTTTTGAGTAACCTGGTATACATATCTGCTCCAATGATTTCCTGAAATGCATAAAAGCATCCATTTATGGAACTTCTCTGAAATTAGTCCATTTAAAAAAAAATGCAAAAAAAAAATTTTTTTTCGGAAACCACAGTAGTTTTTGGCAGAAACTCGAAAACGTCCCGAGGTATGGTTGCTATTTATGAAATGCCCGAATAAAATATTAGCATTGTGGTCTTCTGACAAAATGGGGGGGCGGAGAAATTGTTTTCAAAATGCACGAAACTTTGTTTCACCCTGTATCACGGGTCCTGATCAATTTAGAAGAAGCTGTAAGGAACGGTTCGAAAGACGATGAAAAAGGCATTCAGAATCTGGGCGGCAATTCGAAATTCGTTCAATATTTTAGAAATTACGAGAAGTCAAACTTGATGCCAAATTTCACTATTAACGTTTCAATTGACGCCCAGTTTAGTAGCCATGACCATGACATGACCTACAATATTCGAGTGGCATTCCTGCGAACAGAACAGAACTACCTATGTAGAAAAAACACTTTACACCTTGAAAAGAAGTAAACATTGGTAGGTCCTATATAGCTAGTCTTATATAGCTAGTGGTATAAAATATCAGCATCTCCATAATCAGTATACAGGGTATGTCACGACAAGCTTACACTCTCTATATCGAGAATCAGTCGGGAGAAATCCATGAAGATATGCATGCTTATATTCTAGAATACGCTCTCTTCATTTAAAATATTTTCAGCAATTTCAAATAGAGTATTTATTTGCATTTTTAGATTCTCCCTGAAGAGCTGATTTCATCGATACATCATACTTGGGGTCTATCGGAAATGATTACAGAGATGTAGGGTGTTCAAAATCTAGATTTTTCAACTCTAGGATTTGTTTGTGTCGAAACTACTCATTATCGGTCAAAACGGCTCACATGCCCTATCTCAACTTCTGATTAACTATTTACTGATATTTAATCGGAACAGATACAGGGTGATCAGAATTCTGAACTACTGTTTATTTTTCTCAATCGTTCACTGGTTAGTTTCCTGCCTCGGTCTTCTCTCTGTCGATCACTCACCTGGATCAAATCCTTTCCGGTGCTCTGGATGTTCGACTGGCTCACCAATATCCTGGCGTTGTTGACGTAAATGTCGTCGTGGTAGGTGCCCGTTATGTGGGTGATCCACAAGGGCGGACTGCCCGATAGCTCGGAGTAGAGGGAGGTGTACGAGCTGCCCAATTGGTCGGTGGTTTTCGGAACGCTGGCTGAAAAGCATAGGAAAGAAGGTTGTTTGTGAGAAATGTAAGATACGTCGAACAACTCTTCACCAAATCTCATTTGTTTATACATAGATCATGTTTTTTTTCTGTTCTTTCGCGTTTGATTAAAATACGAAGTGGATTAATCGAACTTTTCGTTCTATCTTTCACCTAGCAGATGAGCAACTGTACCATGCTAATACGACGCCATTTTGACCACTTTTCTGATGTCAATCTCCCAAAGGAAATTTAAGGTCCATTCTGCAATTTTTTGCTCGTCTTCAGAGGGTCTTCGGAAGTCTTCTGAAGTCTTCAAAAGGTCAAAATAACGCCGTATCAGTACAGTTACTTGAGTGAGGTATAATATTTTTTGAAGATTGACCCAAACTATGACTGCTTATCAATGGCACTGGTCTACTGGAAAATGTCGAAGGCACATTTGTTCCATTTGAATATTTGTCAATATGAAAAATTGCAGGTTGGAGTTTTCATCTTCTTCTCTTTTTATAAATGTATACCTACCTAATCACCCTTCTGGCATATTTTTTCTTGATGTTACATTCATACAGACCCCGTTGAAAGTCCATTCCCGTCCTACTAATTTTTGAACCACCTGGTATATCGCAACGAAATTTGAAGGGCTCGAATAGCAGATCAAAACATACTTTTTATTGAAAAATTACGACTCAAAGTATCAAAATTCAACACTGCATATATTGTTCCATTTTATGATTCTTTCTATAATTCTTGACAGTTTTATCAGATGCACATTACTTCTGAATTCAATAGTTTTCGAAATATTAAATTTTAAAAAGTGAAGAGTTGGTCATTCCAAACCCAACCAAAAATTCGAATGTCCCTTTTAATCGAGTTTGTGGGGAACAAAATCGTTGTCGCGGCTCCACTCATTCTTTCCAAAGCACAACATTTGAGTTTTTGTTGAGGTTTGAAATGACCAAAATATCAAATCATTAATATTTCGAAAAATATTGAAATCAGGAGTGAAGTGTATCGAAAAAATTACGAGAAGATTTCGAAAATGGAATAATGAAAACTAATCCAAAATGGCGCTCAGCCGCCAATTTTGACAGTCGAATATGAAGACGACTCGATGAAAATCTGAATGCCGCGAAAGTCTCTCGTTTTTCGCGTTTCGTTTTACGAACCTGGAAAATCGGAGAGGCCGTGTGAAAATCCGTTCGTTTTGTTTTCAGATTCTCGCATCAATGGAACACCATCGAAACCGAGACCGTTTTCATCGGACTATGACTTTTTTGCGCGATAAAATTCTTAATTAGCTTTTCCGGCTATTTTCCTCGATACACCAGCGAGAAGAAGAACAAAAGAGTATACCTAAGTATACCTACAAAAATTAATGAGTCTAAAAGGGGAGAAGATGAAACAGTATTTTCCTTTCGAGCTCATTTCACGAGGAAAATGCTTTTTTCTGCACGGTCCGCTCGGTTATCTGTACAGTGGAAATTTCTCCATAGCGTTTTCTCTCAATTAATTTTCTACACCTCGATGGTTTTCTGAAAATATGATTCATCAGTTCAGTCCTATTCATCAGCAAAGAGAGAGGATGAAAGGGACCTTTTTGTAGCAATATCTCAATGTCTTTATACTTACCATATTTATACAGGAGACATCGTCATAAAACGCACATACTGCGGAGAATATCGAACCGAATTAAAATTTTTCATTCTATCTGGGATGTACTAGATATTATCAATTACCGTTTCCAAAAATATCCTGCAAAAACTGAAAAATGTTGATAATGGAGTTGTACACTCTAGTCGAATTTACGACACATACCTAATTTATATAGATCATTCAGTGTATGAATAGTATTTGATACAATTATTCGTTATTTAAAATCATCGCAAATATTTTTTTTTTAAAGAGAGAAACTCAAAGTCATTACCATAATAGTTCATGAGATGAACGAAAATGGTAGATAATGAGAGAAAAACAACTACTTTCCTGGCTATATACCACGCAGAACATTGGAAAGACAAACAAGGTAAGATTAAAATTTGCGATATGGAAAATATTGCCATATATATTTACAAGGCGGATGGATCAGTGTGAAATATACTAAAGTATTGTCAATTATCTAAATTCGAGGCAAATACTGAAAGATCGTTATGTTCGTTTTGAAAATCGCAAAACTTTAATGCGTATCAAATATGTAAAGATAAACAGGGTGTCCCATTTAAAAAACATAACTTTAGGTTATAACTATAAATAATAACAGCTTACACAAATGTTGAAAATCTGAATACGCCATGCACTGTTATAAATGCTCGTTTCATCAAAGTGACTTCCATCCTTGATTATGTAAATACTCAAAGCTTCCATTAATTATTATTTTGATATGGCGTTACTTCCTACTCACCGATTAATTATTATTCTGTTAAAATTTCGCATTACAGTTTCTAATAAGCCTCAAACACACACGCACATGGAATAACTCGAATGGAGAGAGTTAATATCCGTCTGTCACCCCAAATTCCAAGTTTCGGTCCTAATAATTAGCCTGCCACGTTTCCCGCCAAACAGAAGCCTAATTTGCATCTACACCAACAGATGCCGTGCTTAACGCTTTCGGTGTTCTATTTCTACGCCAACTAATTCGGTAGTTTCACAGATGTCATTTGTCTCATCCGTATCACAGCTAACTACCATAATTTGTTCTATGAATATTTCGCACCTCTACGTTCTATAACATCGGATGCTTTTATTTCAATTGGAGGAAGAATGACAATTGACGTTTCGACATTTTGAGAGGATCTTCTATCACCCATGAAAGCCCGTAGTACGAAAAAAGTTTGAAGGGGGTTAGGTTAGGTTAGGTTAGGTTAGGTTAGGTTAGGTTAGGTGACTTCAATTCAAGCACACTCGGCATATACGAAAGAAATACTATTCTTTGGTGGAAATGATTCAATGCTTCGCATTAACCAAGAAATTTGCCCTTTTTCTTTAAGGATCTATCATTATTGTCGTTTGATTTTTTCAAACGTGAGTGGAAATCTTAGTTTTTTCTCTCTTCATTGCTTTCAATTATGGTTTGTTGATAATGTCCATAGTACTTCCTACTCGCTAGAAATACAATTCAGAAATCAACCGAGAAGTTATAACTCACAAAATTGATTTTGAAAAATTCATCTACTGCACCAAGACACAATATTGTGATATCAATAAAGAATACACCATACATCATTATACTGCAATCAAAATAAGTACATTCTCCACTCCTATGTCTCATGGCCCTCAATTGATTTTTTCTAAAAACCAAAAATATGATGAGCTTGTAGACTGAAATATTTGGGTTTTTCTGGGAGTATTTTTATTTCTGAAAAACTCATTGATTTCTCTCAAAAATGTACATCACCTTCGCGATTTTAAATTCGGTGAGCGTATTACACATATATTCCAATCTAGAACCTTGCAATATTCTTGGTATTCCGAAAACATCAATTTTGGACCTTTGAGAATTGTGGGTGGAGAAATTTGCAGAAATACATATTAAAGTTGTTTGAACAAAAACTTTATGGAAACAATCAAATGCATATAGTTTTTGGAATTCAAAAGCCTGAGGGCTGAACATATTTAGAAATAAGGTTGAGTTCAAGAGACTGTGGAATGTTGATCCAGTCAAATTCAAAAATATGCACTGAGAAAAAACTCACTGCTGAATGAGTGTTGCATTTTACGTAACACCTATATACGTACAGATTTTTACTCTGTGTACCCAAAATACCACAATGATTATTGCTATATTTTTGTATTAGATTTAGAAATCAATACATTGAATATGGTGGATATAGGTCTGACTTCTTGCACTGACTATAATAGTCCTTGCTTGGAGTTAATGGAAATTTGATATTGTTCTATTTCTGCTCCTCTGGCACGTCTCTTTGTCTGCCAGGGACTCTAAGGGGGTGGTAATTTTCCCCTCTTCCCCCGCCTCAGAAACTTCCTTGTTCCCTATATCAGCTTACTTATAGAGTCCTTAATTTGAACAGTATTCGATTCGTTCAACATGGCTTTAAATCCCTTGTGAAAACTAAATACTTTTCAATTTAGTCGGTTATAGACGACTATTGTTGAGTCAATTAAAAGTTCAATGATGATTCCATTCAAAGCGCTCGTAGGACTGAAATATTGCGAAATCTGATTAAATGTTTGAATGTAAGTAATTTTTTTTCAATTCCATCATTTAAAGAACTTAGAGCCGTTTATTACTTTGTTCAAATTATTCGATTTGTTTTATGAAGTTGCATCAAATGTAATTCAATAAATTGCGTTTTCATTGAATAGTAATTAAATCAGATATAGGGAAGCGATTTGATATAAAACTGCATTTTTAGGGAGAAGAATTTAAGTTGATTTCAGTTATTAGGTTTGATGATAACAATGATGATGATTTTGAAAAATAATTATAGCCACTAAATATATCAGGTGAAATAAAACTGTGATAATCTTTTCAATTTCCAATATTTTTCTAGAATAGGTGAGTCAATATTCTTGAGAATATTTTATTCCATATAATTATAACATAACTACCGTACTATAATATGAAGCGACTGAAGTTATGTCTTCCATTCCTTTGTGAAACGTTTAACTGTCTCTGGAACCAGCTCAGCTATGACAAAGGACCCGTTAAGCGTCGCAGGAAAAAGTATTTGGCAGCTGTTCACTGTTACCCGATGCAAATTTCCTGAAAATTGGTATATTCATGATTTATAATGGCATGCGTTTTCTTATTTGGGCGAACACTCTCTGGGATGGGAATTCCAGAACATTTTTTCCCGCTGAGGTGTGTAAATCAATGGTCGGAATACCGTCAGAGATGAGTTATTGTATGCCGTTGTTCTATGAGTTTCGAGTTTTCCTCTTTACAAAACATGCACCCACATTGTTGTCGGTAGACAGAAATTCCGCCCTAGATGATATATTATCAGAGAGTTGAAGTGCTGCTATCAACGTCAGAGTAAACGAAG